CTGCATGTTTCTCATAAAATCAGGGCACTTAGAGCATATGTTTTAGAAATATTTTTGTTTAAAGTGTTCTGTCAAAATGTCAACATTTAACGTCATTTTTGGTCAAAAACTAAATAAACTATATGACAAAAATATTTCTAAAACATATGCTCTAAGTGCCCTGATTTTATGAGAAACATGCCGGAAAAGATAACATTTTTAAAAATAAAATTTCGAAATAGTTTCTTCAATTTCTTTTAGTTTTTGACCAAAAATGACATTAAATGTTGACATTTTGACAGAAAGCTTTATACAAAAGTATTTCTAAAAATGTTCTCTAAATGCCCTAATTTTATGAGAAACATGCCGGAAAAGATAACATTTTTAAAAATAAAATTTCGAAATAGTTTCTTCAATTTCTTTTAGTTTTTGACCAAAAATGACGTTAAATGTTGACATTTTGACAGAAAGCTTTATACAAAAATATTTCTAAAAATGTTCTCTAAATGCCCTAATTTTATGAGAAACATACAAGAAAAGATAACATTTTTAAAAATAAATTTAGAAATATTTTTGTATAAAGTTTTCTGTCAAAATGTGAATTTTTCGTGTCATTTTTGGTCAAAAACTAAAAGAAATTGAAGAAACTATTTCGAAATTTTATTTTTAAAAATGTTATCTTTTCTTGCATGTTTCTCATAAAATTAGGGCATTTAGAGATCATTTTTAGAAATATTTTTGTTTAAAGTGTTCTGTCAAAATGTCAACTTTTAATGTCATTTTTGGTCAAAAACTAAAAGAAATTGAAGAAACTATTTCTAAATTTTATTTTTAAAAATGTTATCTTTTCTTGTATGTTTCTCATAAAATTAGGGCATTTAGAGATCATTTTTAGAAATATTTTTGTATAAAGTTTTCTGTTAAAATGTGAATTCTTCATGTCATTTTTTGTCAAAAACTAAACAATTTTGATGAAAGGTTTCTGAAAAATTATTTTTAAAATTGTTATCTTTTCCTGCATGTTTCTCATAAAATTAAGGCATTTAGAGAACATTTCTAGAAATATTTTTGTATAAAGTTTTCTGTTAAAATGTGAATTCTTCATGTCATTTTTTGTCACAAACTAAACAATTTTGATGAAAGGTTTCTGAAAAATTATTTTTCAAAATGTTATCTTTTCCTGCATGTTTCTCATAAAATTAGGGCATTGATAAGACATTTTTAGAAATATTTTTGTATAAAGTTTTCTGTTAAAATGTGAATTCTTCATGTCATTTTTTGTCACAAACTAAACAATTTTGATGAAAAGTTTCTGAAAAATTATTTTTCAAAATGTTATCTTTTCCTGCATGTTTCTCATAAAATTAGGGCATTTAGAGAACATTTCTAGAAATATTTTTGTATAAAGTTTTCTGTCAAAATGTGAATTCTTTGTGTCATTTTTGGTCAATAACAAAAAGAAAATTGAAGAAAATATTTCTAAATTTATTTTTAAAAATGTTATCTTTTCTTGCATGTTTCTCATAAAATCAGGGCACTTAGAGAATATGTTTTCGAAATATTTTTGTTTAAAGTGTTCTGTCAAAATGTGAATTTTTCGTGTCATTTTTGGTCAATAACAAAAAGAAAATTGAAGAAAATATTTCTAAATTTATTTTTAAAAATGTTATCTTTTCCTGCATGTTTCTCATAAAATTAGGGCATTGATAAGACATTTTTAGAAATATTTCTGTTTAAACCTTTTTGTAAAAATGTGAATTTTTCGTGTCATTTTTGGTCAAAAACTAAACAATTGTGATGAAAAATGTTTGAAAAATTAATTTTAAAAATGTTATCTTTTCTTGCATGTTTCTCATAAAATTAAGGCATTTAGAGAACATTTTTAGAAATATTTTTGTATAAAGTGTTCTGTCAAAATGTGAATTCTTTGTGTCATTTTTGGTCAATAACAAAAAGAAAATTGAAGAAAATATTTCTAAATTTATTTTTAAAATTTTTATCTTTTCCTGCATGTTTCTCAAAAAATTAGGGCATTTACAGAACAGTTTTAGAATTTTTTTGTATAAAGTTTTCTGTCAAAATGTGAATTTTTCATGTTAACCCTAACCCTAACTACAACAATAACCCCAACACTAACCCCAACCCTAACCCTAACCCCAACCCCAAGACTAACCCTAATCCTAACCCTAACCCCAACCCTAATATTTTTATTTTTAAATGTTATCTTTTCCTGCATGTTTCTCAAAAAATTAGGGCATTTACAGAACAGTTTTAGAATTTTTTTGTATAAAGTTTTCTGTCAAAATGTGAATTTTGTGTCATTTCTGTTCAGAAACTAAACAATTTTGATGAAAATTCTTTTAAAATTATTTCCAAAATTGTATTGGTTATGTGTGTTGTAAAATTAGGGCATTTAGAGAACATTTTCTAAATTTATTTTTATAACTTTTTCTGTCAAAATGTAGAAAAGATTTTTAGAACTTTTTTTTGAAAAACATTTATTTGAAAAATTATGGGAAAAAAAACTTTATTCTTTAATTTTTAGAAAAAACAAATTGAACCATTTTTAGATTTTTTTGACAAAAGCCTAATTTTTTTTATTATTTTTTGCATGTTTTTCTTAAAAATAAAGTGTTTTTAAAAAGTTTTAAAGTTAAAGTTTTTTCAAAAAAACATTGTTCTGCATGTTTCTCATAAAAATATTTAAAAAAAAATTTAATTTGTTTAGCAAATTTTCTTTTGGAAAATCTTTAGAAAAAAATTGATTTGAAAGATTTTTGGATTAAATATTTTTCTGCAAAGGTTTGGGGGAAAACATTTCTAAAAAAGTTTTAGAATTTTTTTTGAACATTTTTAGAATGTTTTCTTTTTGATTTTTTTAGCAAAGGCCTAATTTTGGTGGTGTGAAAGATTTTGATGAATTTATTTTTCAATATCTTATCTTTCCTGCATGTTTCTCATCAAAATATAGCATTTAGAGAAAAAACATTTAAAAAAAAGAAATGTTTTTGAAAATTTCTTAATTTTTTAAATTTATTTATTTTTTTAAGTTTTTTAGACAAAATTTGTTTTTTGCATTTTTCGGCAAAACAATTTTATCTTTTCTGCATGTTTTTTATCAAATTAAAAAAATTTTAGAAAACTTTTTGGTATTTCTTGATAAAATCATAATTTCAAAACTTTATTTTCTTATAAAATTAGAGCATATTGAGAATATATGTGAATATATATGAGAAAAAAAAATCATTTTCTGAATTTCTCGGTAAAATCCTAATTCTGAATTGTAGTCAGATGATGAAAAAATTTGATGAAAATTTTTGGAAAAAAAGATTCAAAATTTTATCTTTTTTATGTTTCTCAACAAATAAGAGAATTTTGAGAAATTACTCAGAATTTCTTTTGGGAATTTTTCAATAAAATACTAATTTTATGTTTTCATGGTGAAAAATGTTGATGAAAATTTGATCTTTTTGTACCTGTCCATCCTTCTGCTCAGCTCCATCCATCAGTTGCTTTATGAAGATTTCAACAATCTGTGGCCGCTCAAGAGACAATCTGTGCTTTAGTGGAGCTTTTTTCCATAGATCTGACCAAACACAGAAAATATGGCCCGGGGGTTAAAATCCTCAAAGTGTTGTTGAATGTTTTAGAGTTCGAAGAGTTCATGAAATTTGTAGGAAGCAACAAAAAGCTTACAAATATTTGAAAATAACAATAATACTGTACATAGGTATGAGATTCGAAACATATATTTCTTAATATGTGTAGAAATGCATATATCCAAGTCTAATATACTATAAACCAGGGGGGCCCAAACTGTTCCAAAAAAGGGCCACTGTGGCTTCAGGTTTTTATTCCAACCAAGCAGTAACTCGAGTCAAACGAGCTCCATTTACCACTCAACAATGTCTCGCTCAATGTCCTTCACTGGGTTATTTTACCCATTTTTATAACAATAATATATATTTTTTTGATGATTAAATGGGGGGATTTTAATTTAATTAATTTATAGTATATTTCTGGGGGATGGAACAAATTAATTGGTTTTTAATTATTTTTAATGGGGAAAATGCAATCAAGATACGAGTGGATCAACATACAAGTGCTGTTGTGGAACAGATTAAACAGCCCCACTGTACAAGTTTGTGTTTCCTGTCTGGTTATGTGTAATATTATTTTCCATTACCTGTTGGGAGACATGTATCTCTTCGAGTTTTCTCTGAAACCACAAGACTCAGCTCTCTGTTGATTCTCCTCTGAACTGCCTTGATCATGTCACACTCCGTGACCTCCAGCAGTCTATGCAGCTGACACAAGCAGGAGAGAGTTCTTGGGTGTCAGGAGGGCATAACTGTACAAAAAAGTGTGTTCTGTGTTGTGGTTTCTACCTGCCAGGCTTTAACGTCAGCTTCTGATGCTCCAGGTGGAGGCAGAAAAGTCTGTCTGCCAGAAATAAGCAGCTCATAGTCACGACCTTTACCCACCTGTTGAGCCAAGGCTTTCATGCTGGGGAGGAAGATTTCAGCTCTGAAAAGAATTCAAATAGAACAAATGAAAATATCTGACCACTATAATATTTGTCAAGAAAGCATCTATTACAAAATTGATCATGCAACTTCTCCATCAACTAACTAATAAGAATAAAATACCTAAAAGCATCCATAGGTAAACGTTAACCCAAGAGAACTAGAGTTAGAGTTTAATTAGTTAAATTAAAATTAAATTGCATTCGAAAATGCCTAAAAACATTATTTACAGAATTATAAAATATCTCATAATTAAAAAAAATCATAATAATAAAGCATAGAAAATAATTTTAAAATAAAGTTGGGGTCATTTAAGAAATATATATGCATGTTTGACCTATAAGAAAAAATATTTCTAATAAAAAAAGGGCATGTTGTGTTTGTTTATGGGGCAAATATATTCCTGAATTTCTTATTACCACAAAATACAACAAAATTCACATTGCTATGTACTGCTAAAACCATGTTTTTACAGCACCTGTAGAGGCTGATGAACTGCTGGTACAATGTGGGTAAACTGAAAACCTCAGAGCCAAAATGTCTGCAAGCCCAGCTCTCCTTGAAAACCTGAAGCTGTTTGGTTGTGAGGAGGAAACCTTTCAGCACAGACTGGACCTGAACTGGATCTTGAAGAGAAGCCGTGGAATTTGACCTCATCTCCCTCTCCACTTTAGTTGTCAAATTGCTTTTTCGCTCCTAAAATAAACAGTTAAAAATAAATCATAATAATTTCAGTAATCAGATTTTATCTGATTTATCATCTTTTTTTAATGTACTTCAAGAGTTTTCTCATCTTGCAGAAGGTCATCCTTGCTGCCATGGAGACGGACAGGCTGTGCCTCTCCCCCGCTGTTCAGGACATCCTCCATGAGCAGAGATACACCAAGGATTGCTGCATTAGCTTGAAGTCTGCTGGAATCCTTCAGGTCACACAGACACAGCTGCAGATAAAACAAATCTGCCGTAAGTTTAAGTTTGTGGCTCATACAGCAAAGAATATTAAATGGAAAAAAGGTCTGAGATGGAATTCACCAAAAAAACCAACACAGAAAAATAAAAAGATGCTTAATATTATTTTAACCAAACATGAAAAGCGAATCCAGTTCTTAGTTGACAGTCGAAACTGATGTACAATTAGAGTTAAGATAATCAGCAGTTAAAATGTAGCCAAAAAATAAAATGTAGTATCGTAAATAAGTATGTCAAAATAGAAAAAACATTACCCAAAAAGTCAGAAAAAAACTGCAGTAAAATCTTTGGGGATTCACTTGAGACAAGAATAAAATAAATAAATGAAGACATGTCGAGTTGCACCTGCATGCTGTATTCAATGGCTGGTATGACCCACAGTTTCAAAGGAAATAATCCATGAGAGGCAACAAAACTCCTCCATGGATACATGGTCTGAGCCTGCAGAGGGAAACCACATCAGGCACAAACAAACAAATCTGACTGCTTTATAAAAAGAGTGGGGACCAGAACTGAGCTGACCTGAGATCTGTGAGTCTGCAGAGGCTGAGGAACAGGCAGAGAGACAGTGAACACATCAGTGTGAACACTGTCACCCAGCAGGGGCAGAGCAGTTGCCATGTTATCACTCACACTCTGGTAAGACATGACGTCACCTGAGGAGAGGAAGGCCTCTCTGAACACAAACACATCACACCGCAGAGGAGAAAAATTATTTTTTTCTTTCATCCTCTTCTGTAGCAAATGTATTTTCAAGAAGTATCAAAAGCGCGGGGAATGAATCTTCCAAGCACTACAGTACAACTGACTGACTTTACTACACTTTTCCTGTAAAGCAATACGTTAGCACTTGAGTTAAGTGTTTCAAGATGAAAACTGTGTCAGACAAGGTTTTTTCTCTCCTGCTGCTGACCTGATCAGGACTCTGACCGCAGTGTCGAACTGTAGCAGCAGAACCTGACGTCGCAGCTGCAGCAGTTGAGCCACGGAGTCGGGGCTACTGGGTTCAGACAGTAGCTCCACCTGTCGCTGGATCTCCAGCAGCTCTACACCTGTAGAGAAACAACATCCAGAGAGCAGAAGAAGTGAAGACAGTAAACTAAGGTCTCATGGTTGGTGTTTGATTACCTACACTAACATTTATCTGAGTGGAACCTTTGTATTTGCTTTGTGATAAATATTTCACGTGAACATGTGAGATGCTTTTCTTTTAAACCATGAACCTACCGATGCCTTCAGAGCCGCCCCATTCAGCTACAAGCCGTGATTCTGTCTCCGGCTGGTCTCTCCTACCGCTCCAGGTGTTTTCTGCGTTACCAAGTCTGGAGAAACTGACGAGGTAACACACGATGTCATGGAGAGCTGAAGCTATGTGCAGGGTGTGGTGGAGAGCTGTGGCACAGTCCTGGTGGAGACAGAACAAAAAGGAACCAATTCATGTAAAGACAAATCAACAAGATAACATTTACTGTAACGCCAGCTGTAACCTCTAAAACTGGTGTATTGAAAATGTGGGAATCTCACCGAGGGTTTTAGAGTTTTAAATATTTGAAGAACTTCTGAAAAGTGCGGGACGATCCATAAGTTCAGGAGGGCACTGCCGTCTGCAGACATGAACTGTTTACCCTGATCCTGATGATCCTGAGAGGCACTGAGAGAAACAAGAGGTTATTCAAAAGTTTTTATTATTTTTACAGTTTTTATTTGCGAATAAAGTTTCAATATGGACTCAAGTCACACATTTACTACTTTACATAAGATTAAGTGATAAAATCTAGTGCTACCGTACCTGGGATCAGGTATAATTTTATCTCCAAGGTCAAGAAGACTTGTTGTTTTCTTTTCTTTTCCAGTCATGAAGTGGGACTGACGGATGGACGGGATATTGTTGAGAAGAGACATGAGGCTGAAGTAATATGAAATAATCTGCGCTCTCACACAGTACTGTGACATCTGCTGGTTGAACCTGTGCAGACGTAAGTAAACAAAAGATCACTTTATTATTCAGTGGTCTGAATAAAACCATATTTTAAAGGGATTTTACAGCAAAGTTAAATGAAGTATTATTGTTTGTTTTTTTTACGTTCTAAGAAACTTGACGATCAAGCTTCGTTTGATCTTGGCTGCTTCCTCCTGTAGAACAAGGAGGAAGTAATGATTTGACATAATTCATGGCTGATCTCATTCTTCATGTTGCTCATTCCACTGTCGATTAACTCACCGTGTTTTCCAAACAATCCCCCTCAGCCTCTTTCTGCTTCATAAATGAGTCAAGCATCTTGTCACGCAGACCAGCTTTTTCCAGCTGTATGGACACGAAGGCCTGGACTAGCCTGAAGCCAAATAAACAACAGTGTATATGTTAAAGAGGCAGCAGAAAATCCCTGTAAATCATCATGAAGTGTTTGTTCAACCTCTGGCTGCTGGTGTTGATATTTTCTATGGAAGACGTGTTACCAGTTTTTGAGTCACATCTTGTTACTGATTTCACCTCAATGGAAGAATGAAGGCACTCTTCACTCTGACAAAAGCACCGTGAGACGTATTCACAAATATTTAAAACATTAAATGTAGGAAGTAAAAACAAAATAATTCATAACCTCTGAATAACACACCTCTGTCTGTGATGACACACTTTCTGCCCAGTAACAAAGACAGACCAAATCCACTGCACTTATCAAAGCATTCTTCTGTACGACCTGAGAGGCCAGAGTCACCTGGAGGTTCTCAATGCCTTCTGTGTTCATAAGCTGTAAATAAATTGAGATGATGGCTAAAAATACTGTGTTATTTAGAACGATTCATATACGTATCCTCGCTTAAATGTAATATTTTTTTACTTACACGAATAACTGCATCCTCTGAGCTGAAGCTAAACCTACCGATGTGTTCCTCGTCCAGCTCGTGGATGCTGAGAGGCAGGTAGGATGGAATAAACCTGCAGTTGACAAAACAAGTACAATCATCTCTGTTCAAATGTTTAATATAAGATGAAATAGTGAATATGTCAGACAAAAGAAGATGGAGTTTCCCGACAGGTGAGGAAGAGGAAGACCACGGGGAGGATTAATGGATGTAGAGAAGGAGGACTTGGAGAAGGAGATGGAAGTGAGTGAGATCAGAGATCAAGGTCTGGAGAAAGCAACAGAAAAGGAAGAAACATATTGATGTTGAGATTTAATTCATTCATTTAGGATTGAAAAATTAGGGAAGAGATCCGGAGTAAAGTTTTTTTGTTTACTTTTCCAAAGAATTGTCCTCTGACATTGATGTCATGAAAATACTCCTCTCCTCTGTTTGCTCTTCAAATTGTACCGGTCGAAGATACAAATGGAACTCCTCAAGGCCGAGTTCTGCAGCAATATTCCTGTACAACCTGGAAATAAAAACAAAAACAAAAATAAATAAAAACAGACGTGAAATTAAACTCTGTTGGACACCTGATCAAAGTAATTAATGTATTAACTAAAATAATCTAAATCATCTTTATATATTCAAGGCTACAAGCAGGAATCTAATATCTTTACTGTGCCAGATGTTCAGTCTCAGAAGCCGACTCCAGCAGCCGGTGTCGAATGATGACGAGCTCCTGCAGCTTGGAGAAAGTGTCTATGGTAAAAGATTGTCTTTCTCTTTCCTGATTTAAATTCTTGTTGTCCACTTCGGACTGAACAAGGGACAGTCCCACATTTTGGACCAAATAAGGATTCCCAAAAAACACATCTGAAAACAACTGGAAATAGATTTAAAAAGTTAGATTTGAGTTAAACAGAGTTAATATTTTTATAAAATAAAAAACCTACATTCTTCTGTATCTGAGGGCTGTAGGATGCTCCCGGTGACGCCAAGTTCCTCCAGTTCTGCAGAGCTTCCTGCAAAAGCTTCTGTCGCAGGAAAAGTTTGTCCAAGGCTCTGGTTGCCTGATGCAGCTGACAGAGCTCTGAGTGAGCCTGGAGTATGCCTTGATAAACTGAAGAGGCCAGACAGAGGGACGGGTGAAGCTCCAGGAGGAATACGCTCATTAGTGAAGGGCTGTACAAGTGAAAAGACACAGAGATCATTAACGTCTGCATGAAACCAAAGAGTTGTTGCAGTCACTTGTCAGGTTACTCACCCGCTGCCTCCAAGTGATGCTGTGTATTTGGGAGTGAAGTTGAGAGGAAGGCCGAAGTCATAAAATGAGCCTCTATCATCGCTGCGCCTTATGTGTTGAAGGAACAGACGCTGGTATTCAATCTGTTGCAAAATGCAAAAGAAAACCTTAATAAATTGTGAAAAATTAAAAGAACCAAATAATTCTTGAATTAATTTTGTTGCAAATTTAGAATTGATTTGTTTTATGTTATGATTAGGAGATGAACATGAACATTTATGTTGAAATAGCCGAATAGTACTCAAGGCATTTGAAAGCTAAATTAAAAAAAACATGATAAAGTGCAATAAATCGATAAAAAAAAAAGAAGAAAAGATTATAAAAATGTTTAAGAAAGAAAGACAAAAATTTTAGTTTGATGCATTTTTTAGGGGACTTCAGTTGACGATTAGATTTAAATAAAGCAATAGTCAGAATTGATTTCTATAAACTCTTGATCCCCCTTTCACATGAACAAATCTGTGATCCTGCCCATGTGTCTGCTTTCACCTGATTATCCAGAATCCCTTTAATCAGCTGCTGGTGACTCCTCAGGCAGTCTACTTCTGCTCTGTAGACCTGAATAAAGTATTCCTGCTCCAGGTCCATCTGTGGTCTGCTGTGCATGATGTCAGTGATGACTCTGGCCAGAGCAAACCTCTCCTCCAGCCCTGCTGAGTGTTGATAGGCTTCATAGTAGCAGTTTAACAGCTGAGGGACAGAAAAAGACAAAATTATACAATATCAACAACCTTTATAATGGATTTAAAAGAAATAACATTCAGTATCCCAAATCCCAAATGTGTTTTTACAAATTAATATATTTCCTGTAGCTAGGACGACGTAATCACCTGAACTTTGCTCTCCAAAAACTCTGTTTCCCATGTCCACAGGTCAAGAAGGACAGCAACCCTGTCCACATCAGTCCCAGCCCAGGAGTTGATGTCACTTTTTGCTGTAGATGGAGATTGTTGCTCACCTTTTTCAAATTTTTGTAGTGTCTTTTTACGTATGAAATGTGAGCCGAGGAGCAGGAGCTCATTTTCCAACTTGTCCAAGTCTTTCAGAGCAACATCATACACAATAAAAAACCCTCTGTGGTCCTGAGTGTGGATAGAATTCTCCTCAGTGCTGTAGAAATCATGGAGATTCGCCACTTCAGGAAAATCCATAAATTCTGAGCAATGAACCTTTTTAAAAAAAAAAACAAACAAACTTTACAACATTAGGCTTTATGGTTTTGAAATAAACTGTGAATAAAATGTTGCATTAAAAATTCAAGAACATTTTTGAAATAAATTTCACTTCTAATACAGTATAATGTGATGCATATGTTAATACCAGAAATGAATCCAATTATTGTTTTACTACTTAAAATGCAATAAGTAATTTATAATTTGTACCGCCTTTTCTGTTGTGTCTCTAAATAAAACAAATTTAAAAAATGAATACATTAAAATAAATAAATGAATGATCAGCTCATTTTACATTTGAAATGTATACTGTAAATGTGTTTATCACATCAATCAATGCATATAAACTGTAATACAAACCAGGCCACGCTAGTATTTACCGTGAGCAAGTTAAAGACCTGTGTTGGTACCTTATAGTCCACAGGAGTGTTGTGGATAAACTGGAGCGAGCCCAGACCTCCTGCCTCCCCACTTCCTCCTCTGGCTGCGTTCATCCATCCTGTTTCCTCTGCCGTGCTGCACAGTTCTCCATCCTCCAGCCTCACACCTGCCAGGTCAAATGTCAAAGTCCTCTCCACGGAGCGAAAGTAATTCAGAATCCCCAGAGAGACTCTCTGCATAGACAGATCAAACACAGTGGAAAATCTTTGTCTGATGTTAACAAACAACCCAGTTGGGTGTTTTTAAGTGATCATAAACTTAGTTACAGCCTAACCTTAAGCTCCCTCAGTTTGAGATGACGCAGGTAAATCAAGGACAGGTAAGCACCTCTGGTCACCACTGGATTTGAGAGTTGATCCTCTAAACAGTCGTCCAGACCTAGAATCTCCAGACTTTAAAGGAAAAATATTTTGTCTTATTGTATAAAGAGACACAAAATGTTTAATCCTTTTAATCAATCTATTTTCATAAAGGTTATGGAGGCTGTCAGGTTATATTTTGTTACAGTTTTCCTGATTTTTTTAAATTTATTTATCAGGATTAAGACACTTTTTACTATAAATGTAGAGGAATACCAATGTTGAATAAAAGTCTCAATTTGGGGCTTCATTACTTATTCTACACATTTAAGTTTTTTTTTTTTTGTCATGCAACTTCATCTGCGTGACATTGTAAATATTTCAGGGTTTTTTGTTACCAAGGAGTTTGGAAAATGATCTCACTTATTCACTCATTTATTCACCATGTGCCATCATATCAATCCTATTGAATCCAGACAAATTATTTCAAAACCATAAATAACAAACATAACACATGTTGTGGTAATTTTAATTGAGGATTTATATTCTTAAATTACCAACCTTTGATTCTTTGAACTCTCTTCATCACCTCCTGTACAAGTGGATGAACACAGTGGCGTGTCCTGAAAAATCAAATGGCACATTTCACTACATTTCTTTAGGCAGTAAAGATGACACTCCGGTCTTTAAACGGTCCATACCTGAGTTAAACTGACCCCACTGTAAACACTGGTCCAGATATCTGAGATTTTTCCCCCTTTGGTTTTCATGTTCATGTGCGACACAGTTGACATTGAGGTTGATTGTGGATGACAAACACGAGCACCGTGTTCTTTCAGAGCTGAAGCCACCTGCAGCAGATCTGGAACCTAAAGGGAGAAAACAAAAGAACAAACCTGTGTGAAAACACATTTTAGAGCAAAGTAAAAAGTAAAGTGACTTTTTCTGACATCGATCCGTCATCGCAGCTTCACACAACAGTGTTCACCTGGAGAAAGCTGCTGTGCATCTTCATCAGCTCATCCACACACTTCTTCTCCTTCATTCTTGTCCGTTGCTTCTGCTGCCATGGATCTCGCCTGGGCTTCACCTAAAGATCAAAATCCAATTTGTTTTTACGTGCTGTTCTTTGAAAGAAAATACTCAAAAACCCATTTAGCAAACATGACTGCAACTGTACAAAAAGTTGCTATTAAAGTCTGGAATTTATGTTACCAAAATGTTTTCGTATTGGTGGGATGACAGTTCAAACCTGGATAAAAGGGATCCAGTTGGCTTCCTTCCTCAGGGCCATGCCCCCACTCTTCCTCCCCCACTGACTCTCCTCCATCTGTGTGGAGTCGTACTGAGGAAATGTTCTTCTCTGCTCTTGCTGTTGGAAGATTTTTCTGAACTCCCTCCACACCTTCAGAGAGAGTGGTCTTTAATTCACTCTAAATTACATCTGACAAATCCCTCAAACAGTCTCTGCACTCACAGTATGGTCCACAAACAGAGACAAACCACAAAACTATTACCAAGCTGAACAACTCCATCTCATCTGCAGTGGTCATGAGTTTTCCAGTGTCATATGGCAGGTGGAAGTAGGTGAGTAAGGACTGAAGCTCAGGTAGAAGATCCTTCAGATGAACAGAATGCTGTGGAACAGTCTCTACTCGTACCAGAGCACCTGGAATTGAATGGACCAACTTTATTATTGATGTACTACTTCCTCTGTGGTCATTTTCACAGACATTTAGTTGGGATCTAAAGATGTATACAGAAGTTTTGGGTCACCTTACAAATTTGCAGCTTTTCACCTAACCTTTTTGTGTATTCAAAAATGCATATATTAAGATTTCTTTGGAAATGGCTATGTAACTATTTAAAAAATATATAATTCTAGAGCTGCATTGATAAATGTGTGGATTGAATCACAAAGTCATAGCACACTGTAAATCATGGGCAGTAGATTAGTGCCTTTGTCATGATTGAAAAGCTGCACAGACTCTTGACAAATATCCTAGAGTATGAAACATAATGTCTCAGTGCTCCTAATCCCATTTGAGAAATACTGTCAAACATATAGCAGTTTCCCTTGTTATACTTTAACATTTATTGCCCCTTTTTACCGTAAAACCTGAACGCACTGATTCAAAGGAAACAATTAGGTCATGTAACTGCAGACAAAACAAACATTCTACAAGACAATTTGTCATTTTCTGTGAATTTCCATCTCACCACATGAGATTCATCAGCAGCGGGTCTGTGTCTTATTATGTTATGTAACTGCAGATGTTACCAAAACATCAGCCCACTCGTGCTGGGTTAAATTCACCAGTAAATGTTAATGTTAACAGTTTGTTGTCACACAACGGAGATAAAAACAAAACATTCTTTTTGTTTTTGTTCAGTGCCGACACAAAACAATAAAAATGTACCTGAGAAAATGGTGTTGGGTGAATACTCCATACCATACATAATATTTGGGACACTGAAAATTTACTGAACTTTTAGAAGAATGTACTTCATGAATATTTTCACTATTACAGTACAGAGAGATTTCCACTATATATGCAGTGTGCGACATCAACAACATTGTATGGCTACTGATGCTCACCATCACCATGTTGAGTCTGAGATGACGATTCCTCTTCCTGAAATGTTTTATCTTTCCTTTCACAGGTTGGTATATAGTGCAACACCTAGAAATATAAACAGAAATATATTTTTAGTGTCAATGAGCTAAATGTTTGCTCTAAAACAAGAAATAAACAAAAATAATTTAAGTAGCCACACAAGAAGCAAAATACCTGAAATGGACAGCCAAGCCTATAATAATAAAAAGAAAAACTACAAAATATCTTTGAAAAATATCTCTGTTTATTCAAACAGAGATGTAATAAGCCTAAATCATTCAATCTTTAAAACAGGTTTGCTAGAAACAAAAAAGAATGTACAAGTAAAATTGGTGAAAAACAAAATAAAAGCTTAAAGTTAAAGCTAAACCAGCTAAAGGATGGCTTAAAACTATATGAAAATAAGGTTAATTATTAATAGAGATCGAGATAAATTATAGCAAAAATAAGTGAAGGATTTGTTTTGCACAAAAAATTAGCACCAAAAATAGACACCAAAACAAATCACCACTGTTTAGGTCTTTGGGCAATGTAATAAAAGCTAAAATACAAGCAAACATGGAAAACATAAAAGCATGCTTTATTACTCTGAGGAAGTTTTGAATGGGGCGAACAGAGTGCAGATGACAGATGAGCCACCGCAGGTAAATCATCACATCTTCCTGCGTCAGCAGAGAAGCTACGTCTGCTTGATCAGTCAGGATCATCTCTCTGCTGGCAGACAGCCGACGCGCTCTCTGAACGGAATCCTCATGCTCACAGTTTATATAAGAAACCTGATCCTGGGTTAAATAAATAAAAAAGATCTGGTGATGAACTTGGAATATCCAATAAATCATCAAGAATGATGGCAGTATGTTAGATTGTATGTCAAATACAATGGAAATACAAATGTCTTAAATAAATCTATCAAATAACACGCAACAGAGATGCCATTAAAACAGTAGTTAAATTAAACAGATCTTGCGATGAAAGCCTCATAAATTGTCCCTGAATGAGCTGACTACTACAAAAGTGACAAAAAAGTTTTGTCATGTACAATACATACCAGACAAGAAGAAAATGGTAATTTATTATAAGTTAGCTAAAACAGCCAAAAGCTAACACAAACTAATTATGGCAAAAACTGTCGAAAAATTTCCAGCTGGGCTTCCAAGGCAGACAAAAAAGTTAGCAAAAAATGCTAACAACTAACTAAGCAAAACGTTTTTTAAAAACATCAATCATTTTTATGACATATTTAAACTGAAAGTAATATGTTTTGTTTGTTTTTTCAATGCTTACCTTGTAAACAGGATAAAGCTCCTCGATGACACTGGTGTGTCTGCAAAACCTCCTCCACCTCAGCATGAATATGTATTTGACCTGAGCCAGGTGATACGCCCTGTCCGTATAAAACTGGAGGAAAAAGAAATCAACACAGTTTTTAAGTACCTTTTTCCCCGTAGTGATGCAGCTGTCCTCACCTGATGCAGGAGCAGAGGCAGGTTGTCAGGTGTGTTTTCAAGACTCAAGCAACTTTCCAGCTCTTTCTGCATCACATCCGCCGCAGACTGAACAGGAAAATATTCATTCACCTGCAAACATGCGATAGTTAAGGTTACAAAAAAAAAAAAAAATTCAAATAGGCCCGAGTGAGTAAATTGTTAATTATGTTAATAATAAAATATGAAGTTTAAACCGTACCTGTAGCCCTATCTTTAGGGCTCGCTCCCTCTCCGCACGAAGGAAGGAAATAGCTCGAGGAGGTAACACGGAACTGCAACCAAACTTCAAATGAATAAGATATTCCCCAAGTAACATTTTAAAAAGTAATACAATAGCTTTAACAACTTGAAATGTATATCATCAATCGTCAATGACAGCTAAAATAAAACAATGTCTACGCAGGGCAATCGACGTCGAAGCAAGAACGTCACTTTAGCCAACAGCTAACTAAGGATTCTGCTACTACTTGGAACAATTTTAAGTTTTTACAGTTGTTACTTTTTAGTATAATTATTGCTATAGTTACCCTTTTCTGAGGGTTTTTTAAAATTACCTTTTTAAGCTCAACTGGGTTTTTTTCATCCAAAATAAGAAAATTCGAATAAATGTGATTAAAACATTCACACCTATAGTATTTAAAGGTCCGTGTGTCATTTTCCTCGATTTGTTCCTGAAGTGCCGAGACTTGTTGCGACAGCTCAGCCTCCATCTGCTCCACTCTGACAGAGGAAGAAACTCTATAGCCGTCGCCCATGATGCTTCGCAAACTTTAGTCGCTGAACATAATTTCTAAAACATTTATATCCAATGCACTTCCTCTAATGCTGCTAAACCCGTGCCTTTACGATGACTTGTTATGGTGTCGCCATGGCTACATACAGTAATCACTGTTTCCCCAACTCAAGAGACTTTTCTTTTTTTACACAGTAACAGCATTTGATCAGTAGAGGGCTCTGACATCACACTGCAGCAATCCGCTGGTCAATACACGATGACGTCAGTACGGTTGGTCTTTTCACATAGTTTTATTAAAATATTTTTTCACCAACAGCTTTAACATATAAAGGTATGCACAGACCGTTACGGAGCACCAACTGCACTTGTCATCACAGCCCCTCGACTCAAACACCATGAGAGGGTTTAATGGGCAGATTTCTGCCTCTTGGATACAGCGTCTGATTGGTTCTGTGATTGACCAATAGCAAATCACTAATCCTCAGCGGCTGCTGAGTGAAATCTGCAGCTGTGCAGATTCTCTAGGGATAATAATAATGATGATAAATTCCACAGAAACGTCAAATTGATTTTCAGTGGTTCTTTAAGCTTTATTTACATGCACCATTTCTGTTACAACCAAGATAGTTATTGAAAGTACAACCAATCACCTTCATCGTTTTTATAATTGTTGTTGTAGCAATAGGAAGAAATGGAAATGGACACGTGGCAGTAAATAAAAATAGAATTTAGCCAAATCTAACACACTGTGCACAATTACATCTGATTTGATGGACATGATCCAAATGCCTGTCCCAATAACGCTAGATGAATGCATTTCAACTTTTTAAAAAAAATCAAAAATCAATTGAGTAACATAATTATGATTATTTAATTGTTGTTCGTCCTAATTAATGCAAATTTAAGGAGTTCAAACTTTAGGGTGATTTAAATGAATACAAACACTAAAGTGCTTTTACAAAACTTGAAAATGGGCTAAAACATGCAACACTTATATTTTAAGAGAGGATTAAATAAATAAAACCAACATTTACATCTCTTGAATTGGGCTACATTGAATTCACCAAGGATGGTTTAATAATTCCTACATTGAATTCACCAAGGATGGTTTATTAATTCTTCCTGCAAAATAACCCAAAAAAAAAAAACAAAAAAAAAAAAACTGTGCTGATGTATTTCTGTTTGTTTGGGGGGATTTTTGCCTCTACATCTGTGGTTCCTTATATTTATACACTGCAGATCCTCTTATTTTAGTGCAGAAATGTTTTGGCAATACTTTCTATTTTGTTTTTAAATACTATGATTTGTTCCCTCTAAAATGGCAAGAATGGCTCGAAGATACTACATCTGCAGTCAAACTGAAAGCCTCAAAGTAAATTACATCCTCTGTTCTTTGCTGCGACCTCCATAGAAAACATTATGAGGTCAAGCAAAGATCTGAAGGAGATTTTCATGGGGGAAAAAAAAGGCAACTGCAGAGCTGAGAGAAGTACGTGGACTACACTTATGTCAGCCTAAGTAATGACTGCTGTGTCATTGACAGGGTTCAAAAAGTGCTTCGTGAAGGACTGTACCCTTTGCTTAGGGAGATAAGAAAGGAAGCACTGAAGCACCTTTTCTTAGCATTTAGAAGAGTCAAACACAGCTTTTGTCATGGCTGCCACTCATATTCTTCCAGGTCACTTCACTCACTTAGGGTCCGTCTTGAGCAAAGTGAAAAGACTATTCAACCACAGCCTATTTTCCCAGCCCCTGCTGTAGTGCTGATAACAAATGCAAGGCTACTATTGACACTTCATTTGCAGCTTCATCCCTGCTTTTGTCTTATTTGTAGCACCAGGAACTCCTTCATATTAAAGGAATATTGTAACAGAGTGCTGTGAAATCTCCAAGGGAGGCTATTTTACTGAACCCCTTTCCAGAATAGTTGGCTCACCTACTGAAACTGCTATAAAGAGAAATTTGGAATTTGGTATCCAGGAGAGTTTTCCCATTAGGAAAAATAACAAAGTCATCAAGGTTTTTAAAATTAAAAATTTTAAAATATTAAATTTGTTTTCTCAACCATTTTAAATTATTTTTTTTACTATGGGTAATGCAAAAATACCTCAGTCTTAGTTGTCAGTAGTGTTAGTTGTTGCCTAAAGTACTCCTAAACTCCTCCATGGCTATTTTCATGGTTTTTCCTTTTGCAACACTGGCTTAAGGTTCAAAGGTCATGTGCATTCAGCAGCAGTGTCTACTCTTGGGCTTTACATAGAAATATGTTTCTTGACTCCCTGACTCTTTCACAATTGTATTAGGTGTCGGTGGTGACGTGTAAGTTATTTGTCATGAAATAACACATTTGTTCAAATTGACATGAGACTTTGGTGGATTCTCCTTTGATACTAAATACCAAATCCAGCAACCAATTAATGTGTTCATTAGGGACCTCTCAGACTGTTACTTATATGACCCTTTTAAACTTACTTTGCCTTACGTTCGGTGTTGAATGAAAGAACTGGAAATGTTTCTTTGTTCTTTTACCTTTTAGACACCAGACTCAAATATCACCACAGTAATTAATTGCATATTTACAAAGGGAACTAACTCTTTAAATGGGATGGGTAATCCCCATAGTCCTAAAACGTGATTTTTAATGGAAATGATGTCAACTAGTGCTAATTCTTGTCATTGGTTTTTTTTCCCCGTTAGCTCTACATACAGTATGGTTTCTCTTTTATTGCAGCTCTAGTGGGGGAAGGTGAAAGGGGGGTCTGCAGCAGAAAGACCATTTTTCTCAAGACTTCAGTAACAAATCTCTTAAAGAACAAAATTCACAGTAATGTCACAAAACACAGGGTAAATATTGCTAAATTAAAAAATAAAACATTACATCCAAAAAAACACGCACAACGTTGTTCATTTCAGACATCTCAGATATCATATTAACCTCTACAGACTGATATTTGGTGCATGACTCGGTGCATCAATGACGGGAACAAAAGCTTTTTTATTAATTTTTGTTCATAAAATCTTTTAGTCCATTTATTCTCTCAAAGAAACTTAAAAAAAGCTTATCAAGTATCCTCCAATGGAAAGCAATAATGTAACATTCTCTGCAGCTTTTTTTTTCTTCTGTAAACACACCGTCGACCAACAACTGACGGACGGCTGGTTTGGCAAAAGTGTTGGTTAAGGAGTGAAAGCAGAGAGAGCAAGGTGAAAACAGAATTAATCTTCAGTTTCATGTGTGTCACTCTGTGATATGACTGATTCCCTGAGACTAACACCAGTTGATGCTTTTCATAAACTTTGAGCGATGTATACCGTTTCCAGTCTGCGTTGCTATTCACAAAGGATTTGTTCTTTCTCCATGGTGAAGACACCACTGAGTGTCTCAGACACTTAAAAATACAGTACTGAAATCCTAATGCCTCACATTTAAAACAATGAGAAAAATACTACACGGATACACTTACAGTAGATACTTTTCCCTCTAGTCGCACAATGTAGGACAATAAAACCCAAGTTATGTTTTACCCTCGCCTTTTTTAAAATCATGCAAAGCATTGACCGTAGACTGTATATAAGAAATTAATGTGGCAATATGTTTAGACAAGTTAAGTTCTGGCAAGTACATCTGTAGAAATGTTCAGAAATATAAAATAACTACTTCTGCTTCTATTTTCATTTTCCCAATAAAAATCAAGAATATATTCATGTTACATCACTAATGTTGCCCTTTTCCACAAAACTTACTACACAAACGTTAAATAGTTGTCAACCAATTTTGTACTCATTTATTTATCGATCAATCGACCTATCATTAGAGAGGACCTGTGGACACTAGCTAATCATACAGTAAGTGATTGCTTGAATGTCAAATTAAAGCTGAGCTGCAAATTAAACACCAACAGCTACCACATCTATGAATGTCCTCCTGTTTATTGTACATTGTCCTTTAAACGAAATAACTCGTTACAAGTTTTCTATTAAATACAATTTGAGATGAAATAAAAACTAGTGATTAGGACTAAACTTGCAGGAAAATGTAAACTGATATTATAAATGGAGAAATAGACAGAAGAACAGAAACTATTGTGTGGCCTAAAAATATAGTGCGGCTATGAAGGTGAACTTCTTTAATTTTTTGGTAATGCTAATGCAAATAATAAAGCTAATTCCCTCTAAAACATGATTATAGCTACTACGCAGCAAAATAAATCTACTAAGAACAATGATTTTTATTCATTCATATTGTTGTTTTTTGCTAGTGACAATTTGCTGATTTTTTTTTTTTTTTTAATGTTGATTCACAAATATAGGTGGTTGAAGCCTAGCAGTTAGCTTTGCACAAAGCCTGTACTTGTGTCCCTCTTACTCTGGTGTCTGTGAAATTACATAAAGTAATTAAATGTTTAATGTGTGAGACTTGAGTTAATGTATTTTGTATGTTAATGTCTACAATTAGGAATAAGGTTTACCTTCACATAGGAATATGAATTTTTTTTATTAACCTTGAACCCTTTATTTACTTTAGTATCATAACTGCACATTAACAAAGTGTGGTGACAAGAAACGTTTAACTAGCAAGTCTTAACCACAACAGCCCTATTTTCCTTTACAACATCCCTAAAATATAACATTCCACACAGATGGCTACATCCATTTCTTATACACAGTCTAAGACTCTGCTCAGCAGAGCTGCTCAGCTTGGCACCCAGCTTTCTGGCGAGGTCTGTTTTGAGCTCGAGAAGCTTCCTGAACTCTTGTTGGCATTCTGAGCAGAGGTCAGGCAAGAATCGAAGCTGAGGTCCAGGCAATCAGCTTCCATCAGTTCATTGCGAATGATAGAGTCCATGTCACAGTCCAGGCTGCCATTAAACACATCAAGGTCCAGATCGGCTGGAAAGCGGTCCTGGCTGGAGCTGAGCTGCATAGAGGCTGCATTCTTGCTGGGTGACTTCAGGAGTGGCCTCTTGGCTTCACGGTGACCGCCATCGCTGTCAGAGGTTGACAAGCCAGCTTGCCAACCAGGCACTGAAGAGCTTTGAGCCTGACCTGCACTGATCAGCATGTGGTCTTTGCGCAGCAGCATGGCATTTCGGCGAGAGTTTTGCAGAGCAATGGCGGTACTGGCCTGCGACATCAGAGGGTCAGACTGGGTTAGGAGGACATTGCTGTGGCCGGGGGAGTCCAGACTGAGCATGTCTTGCAGACTCTGGTGGTCGCTGAAGTGTGAGATACAGGAAAACGTGGTCTGTTTGTTCTCCTGAATGGTCTGCATGGGTGACTGTCGCAAGCTTGTGATGGAAGGTGGGCTGAAAAGAGTGTTTGAGCCATAGCTGCCAGAGGGACTTCCCAGGTTGCTTCCTGAGCAGCTGAAGGTAAACAGGGAACTCCCCTGACCATTAACTCCGTTGTCTTCCTCTCCAGGAGGAGGCTGCTGGGATGCTGTCAGGCTGATATTGTCTAAAAGGTCGTCCATCAGGTTGTCAGAGAGACCATCGTTAAGGTTCATGGTACCTGCCAGGTCAGACAGACCTGTGGGACCAGTGGACGGAGACATACTGCTGGGACTCGAGTACAGCATTGGGGAAAGGGGAGAGTCATCATCCGGGACCTCGTCCAGCTCCAGGTTGGCCAGGATTGGGGACAGACGACCGCTGAGGGTGCTGGCATTAGAATTTGTCCTGGAGCGGAAGTCCGTCCAGGCATCCAGCTCGTCACTACTTCGGGAGGTTGGACTTCCTGTCCATTTTGAGAGGCTGGAGGAGCTTTCAGAGCTGCCATCTTGAGCCGCCTGCAGTGAGGCTTTTTTCTTGGTGGCTCGTCCTCGAGCTCCTTTGATGTATTTACTGTTATCCATCGATACGGCCCGGCGACGTGGAGCTTTCCCTCCTTTGCCGCCTTCTGGGTTGACCATCCACCAGGAACTTTTCCCTGTGCCTTCATTTTGAACTTTGACAAAACGGCTGTGCAGTGACAAGTTGTGTCGGATGGAATTCTGAAAAATATTTTTAAAAAATACGGTGAATTTGAGACCTTTAAAAATACTCAGGGTTCACACACAGTCTGTCCCAAGAACAACCTTGTCCATTTTTATTCTAAAAACACTTTATAAACTCTTTAATTGTTTCAGGGAAAGCTTTAAAAGTTTTGAATTTAAATAATAACTAAAATTGCATCTTCTACCAAAGATGACATCTAAGGTAATTTTTTCTCACCAAAGTGTTATAATGAAAAAGTTTAGATTAGACAGAATTTCACTAATCTCACACTGAGGAAGCTGTTGATAAGACAAGATAGTCAGGAGTCGATCCCTGAATCTTTTGATCTGTAATCAGACGCATTAACCCCTAGCTCCTTAGGTTAGAGTGAAAGACTTAGAGTGAAATCTACAGAACGAAACACATTATTATACAAATAATTACTACAGTGCAATTACATGTGGAGTTTTGTCTCTATGAGACTAAAGAGAAAATATTCACAATTAAGAAGTGATGCTTCATTTTCAGCGCAGATGTTCTTCTTCCATCCATATTTTATTTTTAAACCAATTATATAAAAACAGGTAGTGTGCACCACTGAATAACCAAGAGTCTTCTTAGAGACACCACCTCTTCTTTGCCCTATTTCTGGCTGCTCGAAATGGTGTACAAAATTTCCCTGGAGATATTTATCCCAACCATGTACAAAATTAAACAGCTGGATTCAGCATGACTTCCCCACAATAGGACTCACTGTAGTACGTAGAAGAGGCTCTGCGGCAACGTACGTAGCACAGAGATCAACTTTAGTGGGAGAGGGTCGAGTATAATTCTCTTAAACACAAATTAACTCAAGTGAACGAGATGTAATTCAATCCTGTCTCTGAAGATTAAACAAATCTAACACAAACTGCTGGTCCATCACAATGAATATGTTGAGTCTGGCCTAATATGAAAATGTGTGAGGATCAAAAGATCAAAAATGAAGATGGAAGAGAGTTTTAGGTCTGTGATTAGGTTGACTTAAAATAAAACAAAATAAAACCCTTTTCTTCAGGTCTTTTTTTTCTTACCTAACTTAGAGTAAATGTGGAGGACAGGTAGGTTACAGCTGCAGTCTTTAAAGAGACTATATGTCAACTGTATAGGCCAATTTGAACCCATATAACCTCTGTCTGCACTTGTCTTCCAACCAGTTTCAAGATTCAACACCACCCAACTTGTCATACATCCCCATTAGTCATTGTGCTGGGACAAATGTTGAAAATAAAAGCAAAGGCGTATGTTAAGAAGGGTATGAACTAAAGAATACATACATATACACTATCTGTAGTCACACATATAGTACGGAGCAGCCCAAGTACTGTAAGCAAAAAGATCATCAGATGTACTGTGAAACTATTTAAGCCCTGCTCCCATTTTTCACAACCTTCCTTTGCGTGCCTGGTTTTTGAAGCATGACTGCTATTAAAAGAGAGAAAACCTTTGTTTGTTTTTCTTCAATTGCTGCAACTATATCAGCATTGTGTTTAACTAAAGAGGCCCAGGTTTCACACTGAGTAAGCACATTTTGAAACCTGAAACTAGAAGATCGGTATATTTAATCACATATAGATTTGTTTGGCCCAGAAGTAATGTCTCTGTCATTGGTGTGGAACCCCAGGGTTCACCTCCTGGGTGAAGATCGAATCCCAGTTAGGGCGGTTGGTACCTTCCAGTGGACTGACCACCTGCAGGAAGGTTCAGGGGGGCTGGTACGGTGCAGTGTGATTTGGGTGGAGACTGCTGCCCCCGCGACAAATAAAATGGATAGATGGATAGATTTGTTTTGGTGGTGCACTGTAGAGATTGTTTTTTCTAATATAAAATATGTACTGTGGCACAAATAATGTTGGGCAACAGTGGCTAAGAGATAAAAAGGGTAAAAATAATGTGGGAATAATGTGGAAAGAAACCAGTGCTGTCTGACTTGGATGCCTCCTGGGCAAATTCCATTGGAGGTTTTCCGGCCGTATCCAATTGGGCTGAGACCCTGAGGTATAGACCAACAACTTGCTTGAGGGATTAGTTATCCCATCTGGTCTGGGAAGCTTACGTTTGTCCCAAAGGAGCTGGAGAACATTTCTGAGGAGATGCTAGCTCATTCATTTGTTCATTCATCTTTAGCTGCTTTATCCTGTTAAGGGTCACCAGAAGAGCTAACATGGGATGAAAAGTAGGGTCTACTCTAGACAAGTCACTAGACCATGCATGACGGGACCTGCAGCCAATTTGAGTCCTCAGTGAACGCAATAATCAGGGGCATGAAAAGCCATAGGTTCAAACAATTAATTAGAGAGATTCATAAACAAAATTACTGCGTGAGTATTCAGCTCCAACTTGGTTGTGTCTATTTTGGACTAGCTTGGACATTAACTGCCAAAACAATGTTGGCGTTTATATATTAAGACAATGTTTGTTTGGTTTATTTTCCCTGAAATTTATTTACCCAGCACCTTTGACTTTGCTGGGAAATTATGTTTTTTAACATCTTTACTTTATGGAAATGTTTGTAAATAAGCCTGAGGAAAGAATGTTAACTTATTTTTTCAAAATTGTCTCTAATTAAAGTCCAAGCTAAATATTATAATAAAAACATTGTTCAACGAAAACACAGGCAACTAAAATAGAAATGGAAAATAACTTCAAGCTCTGACAATGTTTCAATAAAAAGCACATCGAGCTAAAATATCCTAACAGGGAACAGAACACAACTGCAGCAACACCAAACTGCATCATAATTAATACATAAACCTTTGTTGACACGTCAATTCTGGCCCAGGCTGACGTTTTGATTGACCTCTGTTGTTATTTATGGAGCCATTAATCATTATGATGCCGTAGTGGCCTCAACTGTTCGGCAGCAGATGGAATAACAGCGGTTAAATCTCGCCAATACAACACAGTTTAGTGCAGTAGCGTCATGAAATGCAACCCATGAAAAATGACCAGGGAATTCAACCTCATGTCTGTTCAGATCACAGAGGCAGTTTGAACCAGAGTGGCACAGAATACAAATGACAGCAACACTGCAAACATGTGGGTTGAATTGTCTCCAGCTCCCACATACAGGCTGAATGACCTTGCTGCTGTGGTTAAAAATATACAGTAATCTGGATTATGTGAGCAGAAACTACAGCATTTTGTGCTCTTTGCCAAAACATGCCAATGTAAAGACACGAGTCAGTTTTTAGAGGACAACTATTAAACATAAGAAGGATTGGGTATTTTTTTTTGTGTACACACCAGGAACCAGGTCTACAGTGTGAGTCAGAGTGCATTTATAAAAAGGGATAAATCACAAAGAGCAAACTCTTGCCTTCCCCTCCCCCAAACAGTCACAGCAGCGCTGCAGCAGCCTTTGAGCAGGGACTGGAGCAAAGCCAGTTCAGCCAGAGCCAGATCCAAAGAGAAACACTGAGCTTCTCTCACACTGACTGGCTACACACTGACCTACATAATTTATAGTCAGCTGATTGATCCTTGTGCCCGGGCCACATGAAGAGACAGTGTGGCACACGGCAGAACGCCTCAGCCGCCAGCTGTTCATCCACAAAGGAGCTAAATGTCTGTATTTGGAAGTACCACCGAGAGGGAGAAAAAAATTACCTGCTGCTACATCTAATTATGATCATAAATGCAGTCGCATCTTTCTCATTTAATAAATAACGACAGGTGGGGCAGCGCTACAATCTCACACTCCCATCCTGAAGACAATCTACATTAAGAACACATCTGATTTTACACACACAGATACACAGCATCTTCTCAGGAAATGCTGATGTCAGCTCATACAGTATGAAACATTAACCCTTTCCACTGTGGAAACACTGTCTCTCTGCAGGGAAATAAATAGGAATAGAAACTGCCTCTTTAAAAAATTGACAAATATTTAATTAAAAATCACAAATAACATTGAATGTTTCTTTGGTCGAGATCAAATGATGGCAACACTAAACTGGGCAAAACCACAAAAACTAGAGACATTATTACAAGATACGGTAAAGTAATATCGACATTTTATACCCAAGAAATAACAGGTATGTATATCATCTAAATCATGGACAAAAGATACTTGACCAAATCTTTAAATTATTATTAATTATAATTAATGTATTATTAAAAGTATTAATTATTTCCTTGTTTACAAGTTTCTACTTGTAATTACATGAAAATGAAAGAAACTTTCCTCAAAATTCAGAAACAATTTTTGAGGAAAATGTTTCTGAATTGTTAGAATGTTTAAGCATTTAGCATGTTTAAACAAGTGACAGGCTTTTATAATTATGTCTAAGAAAACCAATGAATAATGAAACTTAATGTTGTGTTATGTCATTTCAACGTTTTCTCCCAGAAGACTCGCAGTAATGAAACACTACAGGTCGATCTAGACCTAAGGACTCCTATGTGCAAAATAATGCAAAACACTATCTTTTACAGAGCAACTCATTGTTATTGCATCTTGATGTGCAAATATGGAAAAGATGACAACTTCCTTATTTATCTAGTTTCCATTATCCTGAATGTTAGCAGTCACATCTTTGGATAGTTTGTTTGCAGCTACTGTATTCACATTACTAAATATATATATATATATATATATATAGATATATATATATGTGTATATATATTTGTATGAACAGCAAGTACAATATTTTCCTCGTTCTTAATGACTAACTAAAACATTTTAATACAAAAAAGAATATGAATTATTTATATCAAAACACACTTGAGGAGTTTGCAGGCCAAAAGTGGCCCCCGGGCCAACAGTTTGAGACCACTGACTTAGTCAGTGCTGCCCACAGACCATGTTGTTACAGATGATGTAACTTACAGTAAGTCTGTGTGCATCTGGCCTGAATGTCTAAAAACAGCTGACAACCAACTCCTGCTAATCTCATATTAATATAGCAGCTGGTTCTGTGCTGGTCAATCAATTATTAGCTGGTCTTATCCTCATCCCCACCATGTACAATCAATAGTAAATAAAAAAAGATATTCATGAACCATTCTGGAATTGGACCTCATCACTTATACAATGTTACGCAGGATTACAGACCTATTTCCAGATTTTTTTTAACTCAATTCTCCCTCTCCCTTGTCTAAATCCTGCACAGCTCCAAACTTTCATCAGACTTGATTCCCTGACAGATTAACTGGTTTTCCAAACCCGTTCTTATCCCTAACATCAAACAATAGCAGTGATGTGGTGTCGTTTGTTGAACACGGTGTAAAACTTCATTTTGTTTTCCGTGTAACACAGTTCACAGCACTTTTACTGCTTGAGAGTGAATGTGTGGAATGGCATAGTTGATGTTTGTGGAGCCTGTAGAAGTTTATTCCATCTGTTTTTTATCTTTAGCCAGGACAAAAAAATACTGAATAAAAGTGGAGGAGTTTACTACTTTTTTTAAAAATTCTCTCCTGTCATTGATTCCTGTACTTTGGACAGTCTTATTCTTGGGCGTGGCTTCTTTGAATTTTCTGTAGAACTTCTATTAATACTTTACAATAATAAAAACAATAATAATAAATATTAGTGGGAAAATCTGTGAATAATAACATTATTAGTTAGACATGTTGGGCCTGTAATAGTTTGGGGCTGTATTTCTGTAAAGGGTGTTGGGGACCTAATGTAACTACAGTACATTTATATGTATGTACAAACATAAACTGTAAAAAAATATGGTACATTTTTTAACCTTATAGTTACCTGGTTGAAAATAATCAATAATTTGAATCAGTTTTTGTCACACTTTCTGTGTAAAACACATATATATCTATTTTGTTACGTTACATCAATGTCTGAATGTTGGTGACTGTATGTTTCGTCCCTGTAGTGCATGTTTTTACATGTGTGGTGACATGGTTTGACACAATGACAGCAGCAGCTTGATGCCACAGCTCACCTTCCAGCCTGCAGAGCTGTTGCTGTCGCCTTTGTCCTTGAAGTACGGTACAGATCTCACCATCCAGTCGTAGATCTGGGACAAGGTCAGTCGTTTCTCCGGGGAGCTCTCGATGGCCTGGGTGATTAGGTCTGCATAGGAATAGTTGCCCCAGGCGTTTCTGCGGGCGGAGGACTTTCTCAGCTGCTGGGAGGCAGAGCCGCTCAGAGCCGCGGCCGGGGTCTGCTGAGCCGAGGAAGGGGAGCCGTCGATGAGTTCCTCTTTCCGGGGGCCGCGCTGCACCTCCACTGGCTGGGAGACGGAGCTGAAGCCCCCGCTGCTGCTGCAGCTCAACTCCCGCGGTTTACTTACACCAGCGCTGGCTTTGTGAGCAGCTCCTCCTCCTCCATCCTCCTCCTCATCATCATCTTCTTCAGGGATTACGTCAGTGTCATTGGTCCCGGGTTTGCCCGCACCGGACTCCGGACGGGGCAGCGGCCAAGTGCAGGAGCGTGGTCGCTTCTGAGGCTCAAAATCCGGGTCGATCTCCACCTTCAGAGGGGGCTCGTTTTCGACGCTCGTCGCCTCGGCCATGTTAACCGCAATGTCTGTTCAGTCGATGGGCAAAGGGACAGGAAATTACTCGGGTCGCATTCCATCAATGTTGTGTGCAGTTTTCAGGGGGGGGGGCACGTTTTCATGTAATGTCCTGCAGCCTCCGCTGCTCCAGCGACTACACGTGTCGGTGGCTCTGTCCTTCTGCAGGGCGTCAGTCCGCAGTGCAAACACACTCACACAGAGCACAGCAGCTTCCACTTAGCATCTAAACCCCACACCTTCACCAACACGCACAGATCTCCCCCCGCAAATGTTCAGCTAAAAGCTGAGGAAGTCTCGAGTCGCTCCCCTTCTGCAAAGACGCCCTCGTCCAGCTCCTGCACCGCGATCCTGTGACGTGCATGCCCGAACGAAAACCACAATGACTTCATCTAATGTGTGCACATCAGCCTGATCACTTCGTGCACAGCTGCCATCTTGACTATTTCCTTTCCAAGTTCTTTATCAACCATGCACTAGGAGAAAATAGAGAGTGGAGGGGGGGGGCTGCCAGTGTCCAGATACGATCAAGGCGGAGATTGCTCCTCTCAAGGCCCCGCAGCCTCCTTCTGTCTCCGTGTCTTCCTCTGCGTCTTACAGTAGAAACGAGTCGCTCCAGATAATGCCTTCACCCAGGCTGCTGCACATCTGTGTCATCCTGAGCACAGGTCAGTCCTCCGTGTGTCCAACTGCCTGCAGAGACTCATTCAATCTGCTGCTGTGGTTGGTGCAAACGCTCCACTGAAGGGAAAAGAGAGAGAGAGAGAGAGAGAGAGAAAACCAGGGTCCTGCCCCCTGGACGGAGCTGAAATTAAAGTGACAGTGTGGACATGTCCACACAGCAGTGACATCATTCTCTCTCTCAACGGAACACTGGACTTTAACACAGTAAGGAAATCCTGTATCTCCAAGTAATTACATAAGTTATTATGTGTAGTTCGCACAGTGTTCTTACATATATATATATATATATAAAAAAAATATATATATATATATAAAATTTATATATATATATATTTTATATATATATATATATATTTCAATTAATCACCCTTTTCAAATATATTTTACTATGTGCCTGAAACTGTTATCGTATGAAATAAAAAAAAAATTACTTGGGGATCAACAAAGTACATTATTTTTACAGTACCATAATTAAAGGTACAATGCTTGTGTTTTAGGGACATCTAGTGGTCATATTACAAGTACACTGAATACTATCTCCTGTTCAAGCCTTTAGGGGCAGAGGTCATCAACAGGTATGAAATTACCCTTGGGGTACTGCAGAGGTACTGCATGAGGTTGTGAATATTTTTGGTGGATTCAGACAGTGTTTGTAACATTTTTTGCAAATATATTTAACTTTTGCTGCTGAAGCTGATCCCGGCAACCAATGAGCAAGGTTCAAAGTTCATCACAGGTCCATACACAAAACAACCAACTCCTGACACTCACACTTATACATATGGTAAATTAACCATATCCAATTAACCTAAAGCATTTTGAGCGAGAAAATGAGGCTAATGATGATGAATTATTTATTCATGGTTGTACTTTTGCTGATACAGTTTGTAGTAATACTGTACATGGAGTGTACTACTATGGCGCTGAGCTCCAATTGTGTGCCACGATACAGTGACGGTACATGTTATGCATAAATACCAGTAAATAAAAAGTATAACTTCCAAATAAAGCAGCAACCATTATAACCAGTAATAAAAAGGATGCCGTACTTTCTCTTATCTATTTTTTTGAAAGCACATTATCTGATTCACCTGTGGCTTGGCAGAATTTAGGCTGACGATGAGGCATATGTAGACGTGACCAAGGTGGCCTGATGCAACATGAAAGTGAAAGATGATTTCAGTGACTTTGGACATGTCATTGTTGTAGCTGGTCTAAGTGTTTCGAAAACCAACACATTTCTGAAAAAGACAAATCATTTCCAGGTAAAAACATCACTTTCTAAAGTTTAAAGAGAACAAGAAAAAAGTATTAAAAAAAGAAACCCCTTTGTTGAAGGACAACACATTCAACCTTGGACCAGCCTTGGACCACCTTATAAGACACTGACGACCATTTTATTAGGTACACCCAGTACCTATATCTACAGTATTAGGTCAATCTATCTGATTTAATTTCTGAGTCTTGAGAGGTACTCGGCTGAAGTCTCTGTCTTTCAGTGGGCTTCTAAATCTGTTTTTGTGTTGTTAAAAATGTAAATCTAAAAGTCAACAGGATGCTTATGGAAATTACAGTCCATCAACCGTTGTACAGTTCTTCATTGTCCTTTTGCAGTTTTCCCAAAGCCTCATAACAAGTGGGTTTTTGCTAATATGACAGAATTAGTTTAAATATCACTGTTGTGCGTGTTCCATTTACACCTTTTTACTGCAAGTGAGAGACTTTGGGTTTTTTTTTTCACTTCACTTGCACTTCCCACGCAGCCCGGTGTCTGAACACTGGCCTTTTCCAAATACAAAGTATTCATGTACTGGAGTTTAACAGTTAGACACATTACCCACCCACACGACCAAAACCTTATTAGTTTCACTTAGGAAGACAGTGGCATAAAAAGGCAAAAACACTTAATTTCATATATTTGTGGTTTCCTTTTTACCCTGGAGAGGAAAATTAACTGAAGGTTCCAAGTGGCACTGTTCATGTACGACGGTGCAATATCACAGGCACCAACCACATAAGCAGGAAAGAAAAAAACAATTCATCTTTAAAGGTTGGAGCAGGTTCTTCCCCTGTTTTTGCATTTGTTTTCTTTAGCCATGTAAAACTAAAAATGCAAATGCTTTGCATATTAAAAACACTGTAGGATTTGTAGAATATTCATTAAATATCTATTTCAATCACCTTAAAAAATCCTTTAAAGATCCCTTTTCAATAAGTAATCCAGCTTTAACCCATATCTTTAAGAAGTAAATACACCTGGACCACATTTTGATTACAAGCAATATGACACTTTTTTTGAAACATTTTTTTCCTAAAGTGCAATGTTGCGATAGAACAATAAAAGGCTTTTAAAAATATGAATAAATATTTCTATAAATCTACACATACACACACAGAGGGTGCAGCATTGCTGCTCCGTCTGTAGTGAAAAATGAGTCGTAGTGTTTCAGTCTGGACTGTTGTAGGCAGAGTGAAGTACAGTGTGTATCAAGTATGAATGTATGGTCACTGTGTAACACCGTCTAGCGTTCCCTCCTCCGTTAAACCTTGGACTTGAGGCTTCTGTCTCCTTCCAGCCAGTACTCCTCTGTCTGCATCTCTGTCAGTCGGGACACCGTCCTCTGGAAGGCAAACATCTCCTCTTCTCCACTGAATATGGACAAACTGCTGGCTTCGTCCTATCAATCCACACAGAATTTGATGAGTGAAAGACCCACCTTAATCAAACAGTTGTTCACATTTCCAAAAGGCTCTTTTAAACACTTGGTTAAACGCTTTAGGGCAAAATTGTTAGTGTTCTTTCCAGCAGTGTACCTGAGCCTCTGTGTTCCACCAACCTCTCCCTTCCTTCTCTAAACTTAGATGACATTTTTTGTGTGAGTCAGTCAAAGTTATATTTACTCTCACCCTTTTCAGTCCCAGATCATCCATGAGAATGTGACTCTCATCATGGCCGTGATGATCGCCGTTCTGCACAAATATCTCCTCCAGGGGATGGTCGGCCAGAATCACTACCCGTACCTAAAATTAAAAGAGAAGAGGTTCAATCTCCCTACAAGGCTCACATTTGGTTAGCTCCATTAACGACTGTGTACCTTGTGGTCATAGAGGGCATCCACCAGAGTTATGAGCCTCCGGGCTTGGGTTTTTTTGTTCAGCGTGAGCAGTGGAATGTGACGAATAAAGACGGTGTCAAACAGTCTGCATATCTCCAGGTAGTCACTGGCCCCTAAAGGCTGAGATATGATGACATTCAGGTGGTGAAATATGATTAAACACATAATCTGAAATCATTTTAAGGTGCAAGTTGTAAAAGTAGACATTTTGCATTTAACAGTTATGTTACATTTATCAAAATGAAAAACAGTTTAGTAGCTTAAAAAACATAATAGAAACTCAAAACTCAAACTGAGGTTCATATAGCAACACACAAACATTGAATATAAAGTTGTTTTTTTTTCCTGTGTTGTGGGTTTAGTTGCAGGACTAAATGTGTTGGACAAAAATGTATAAAACATGACATTTCAGTTGCAAAAGACAAAATATAAAGTCAGTCACAGGAAACTTTTTTTTTAATGAAATATTTTAAACCACCCACTCTGTCACACAGCTCTTCAAAAGTGCAGTCAACAATTGTCCCACAAGCTTTGTCTAAACGAACTTGTCGATTGAGAACCTTCAGAATTCTGGGTCGTGTTACTATAAAGAAACAAAGTTAAAATATGACAATATGCTGAAGAAAAATTAAAGATTATATTTCAGAGAAATAGCATTTAGATCTTTTGTTCAACTAAGCCTATTATGGTGTGAGTGCACTACTTTACTTACTGTCATTCTGCTTAAAAGCCAACTCATCAAACATCTTGTCTAAAGTTAATTCAGCCTCAGGTTCACTGGAACTAAACAAAGAAAATTTTAAATAAATTGATGGATTTGGAACAAGTTTTCTGCTACATTTTAAATAAATGTGTCTTACAGAAAGTAAAGTTTTCCAGCAGACGGCCTGTTTCTTTTACGATAATCAACGCCAGAGTCCAGCCGTAGAGTTTCACAATGTTTCTAAATGGAAAAAAAAAATAACTGAAAATGATTAACGATAGACAAATTGAATAAAATAAAATTTTAAAATGTTGGAAGTGCAAAATTCCAAAAGGGATGAAAAAACACTGCCTGTCCTACCTGCAAGACAGCAATAAAAGGCACAAAGTTGACTCTCTGCAGCCCATTCTTATACAAGTCTGGAGGAAAATAAAAGGAAAAATGGTTTAAATTTCTCTAAAATCTTTGAAAACAGTAGGCTTGAACATCTTGGGTCATTTACTTTAATGAAAACATGGGGGGGAGGGATGATTGCCATTTATTTTTTAACAAAATTGTCACATTATAAATGTAGCCATCCAAGACTTTATGTTCATTAAAATAAAGTTGTTTCCTACCTTCCGGAGGACGATTGGAAGTGGCAACGACAACAACTCCTTTCATGAACAGATTCTCAAAAAGCTGCTTCAGAATCATGGCATCAGCGATATCAGTGACCTGTGTTTCAAGACAAAATATTTAACTCAGAATGCTAACACCTACTACTTAGTAACTCTGATTGTTTGTATGAAAGATGCTGGGATATGAAAACATTAAGAATTTTGTTATGACCTGAAACTCATCGAAGCACAGGAGACAGGCCTCCTCACTGATCTCCTCTGCCACTGGAGCGATGGGGTCGTAGGATTTGGCCATTTTTCCTGCTTTCCTCTTTGGCAGACTTTGTTTTAGCCGATGGATACCTAAAATATATATAAAACAGATTACGAGATGGACAAACAAGTATTTTCACATAACCTGTTTAAAAGAAAATTACCAGGGTGTATGTACCTAAGGAACACTATGGAAAACCTTAACTATTACCAAACATACTGTGATGAGTAAACAGGATGTAAAACCTCGATTTCGATCAGCAACCACACAGCTGTTTTTACCCACAATCACTTAATCAGATTTTAATTTTTATCATCCTTGTTCATATGACTTAAACAAATGAGTCTGAGCTAAACTGAACTCTAAACTTTATTTATTTATTTATTTTTAAGTATTTATTTTGGTAAACATGCTTACGTTTATGCACGTCCAACATGAAGCCATGGAAATGGACCCTCTTTTTCTTCTCTGTCTCCACATAGGAATAAAACATGTCCATGACCATGGTTTTTCCTGTGCCTGAAATAATAGAACATATTTAAATTTGACGCTGAAATCAAAGTGAAGTTTAGTATTCTTTAACAGCATGTTTATTATGTTTATTAATGACTCTGTACGACTTACCGACATCACCATAGATGTAGTAGCCCTTTGGTGGTTTAGGTTTTGAGAAAAACTAGCAAAAATAAAGAGATTATTAAAGAAGCTAAATAAGCTTGTAAATAAAATCAAATAGAAATCTATTTCTTTGTATTGAAAGGTTTAAATGTGAAAAGGATTATAAAGTAAACCTTGTTTTATGAAGTACAGAAGTTATCTATCCATTGCTGCTAACATTTCAATAATGTAATGTGGACACATCTTTCTTTTATTTACCAACTGGATCACTTGTGTCCTCTGAGCTAAAATGTCATTAAGGCATGACAGTTGCATTACAGAAGACAAACTTGTTTCAGATGGGTTTTTTACACAGTAGAACTCATTTGCACTCTGACAAATAACAGCTGGAGTTTCAGTTACAATATTTATCACATATAAGCATGGTGATCATCATATAAAGATAATTTGCAGAAACCCAGTTTTTCTCTCTACCTTGGAAAGGAAGGATGTGGGGGTGTTGCTGTAACCTCTAAGTCTTTTGTGCAGCTGATCCAGTCTCTGCAACACAGCTTTCTGGTGCTCATCCTCTCTCAGTGTCCCATCTCTGATCAGTGCAGTGTAGTGGTCTATAGGACCACTAACCCCAGAGTAACCTTACACAAAGACACACACAGAAAACTAAGCATCTGGCATTGTTTTTATGAGAAACGATTTTTACTTCAACAGTCAGAAAACAATTACAGAAACATCATTGCCTAAATAACTACTGTAGGCTGTTTTTTCTCTCTCTAAGCAATCTCACACACATATATATAGGTGGGTTATCCTGCACTTTTATGGATCATTTTCAGTTTTCCTTGATACTTAATATAGAAATATTCATGATATATTATGGTATTTTGTAAGTTTTTTTCAGCTTTTAAAATGTTAACACGTTTACTTTATATAACGTTTTAGACACTGACCAAATAAATCGATAATTTAAAATTTTTAAAAATCGTGGAACGTATGTGTTAAAACACGACAAGAGTTTCGTAACATTGAAATTACAATTGTCCTCTAACTAAGTATATCAGTATACCGCGTAACTCCATTACTTTAATACATTTTAACAGGAGAATAATAATAATAATTTGACAGATGACACGTCTGAGCGTTACAACACTGGCGCTGTTTTATAGGAATACCAAAGGTTAGTTGACGTGTCAACTACACTGAATGGCAGGAGGTGGCAAAAAAATATTCTTTTTTTTTTTGGTTTAGTTTTTAAAAACAGTAGTAAGTAAAAGGGTTGACATAACTAGCAAGGGTTGGGTTGGACTACAGTTGATTTCACTGGAAAAACACTTCAACTCACTTTAACCGTAACAGCGACTCACCAGAAACTCAGCTCACCTCGTCTGCAGAACTCCGTTAAACATTTCCGAACATATTTGGAAAAATACAGTTCTTTTCGAAGACAACTAACGCCCAGTAAGGCTGAGGGTGACATCTTTACAGGGAACTGTATGTATACCGCCATCTTGGATTTGCGTGACGTCACTAAAACTTTATTAACAAAGCCAAAACGGACAGTCAACCGGAGGAGGGCGACATTTCTCACATTTTCTTGTAATCTTTATCGATAGTAAAATTCATTTAAAATTCAAAACACGTTTATTAAGGTTTTCATTGGCAGACATAAAATTGATTTATATTATTGAATAATGATCTGACAACCATCCAAAAATACAAACCACTGTTTTGTTCACAATTAAATTAGCTTTTTTAAATCTACTTAAAATAATGTCTTTTTGCCACATGCCACATTTTACATTAGCCAACACAAGTATTGAGTGACAGGGGCAACTGAAAAAAAGCTGTGGCTTGGACTGTAAAAGGCCTGATATAGTCACTATAGAAATAACTTTCTCTAAATCCATTTAGAGAACATTTCAATTTTTCACTTTTTGTTCAAAGTATTTTAATCACAGATAACATATTGTAAAATAAATAAATATAAATTATGTTATTATGTACCAACTTTTTGCATTTACATTTCTAGACTAATCTTATGTTTGGAAATTTGGCATACCAATACCTATTTCTTTGTAAATGAAATGGAGAAATACTAGGAAAATGTAATTTCAAAAAGGGTATCATGTTGGAGCTGCAATGGAAAAAGAAAGAATACAACATCTACAAGAAGAATAAACTTTCCCATGAATATTCCCGTCATGACTTTGTCCTTTCTCTAATTATATCTGCACAGCACTGAGCAGGATTCACAGACAAAACATGGCTTACAGGGTGTTCCAGAGCTTACAGGCGTGTTGCCATGACAACCCATGACAACAGAGGGCCCTCTCTCCTCTCCCTCCTCTTTTACACACACACACACACGCATACACACACACACGCATACACACACACACGCACACACACACACACACGCACATACACACACACACGCATACACACACACACGCACATACACACACACACACACGCACATACACACACACACACCCGCACACACACACACACGCACATACACACACACACACACGCACATACACACACACACACACACTTATACAGTATTAAGGTGGAATCTGCCTTGCTTCCAGATCTGTACTCTGCCACTGGGAGCAGGGGAAAAACACAGGAAACACAGCTTGGATTGGAGGGATACTGCACATCTGTTTTGGATGGTGAGTGTTTGTTTACATACTAGATCCTTTGCCACATCTGCCTTTGGGAAGATTTTTTTTTTGGGCTGTTCATTTCTCTTTTACTCCTGCTCTGCTGCTGCTGCTACATGAGGGTTGTGTCACATGTTTCTTTATTCGCAAATCCGCCTTCTCTTATTCTGTAATGATTTGGGCTGACACTGTCATCGTAATGGTAATTCATAGCTAGGTAGCCATGGTGAAGTCGATTTCCCTCCTCCCTCTGCCACTGCTGAATGCATTAGTCTAATGAGATGTCTGCAGCCTGGGTGCTGAGCAGCAGCAGCGGCGGCAGCGGCAGCAGCAGCAGTGTGTAAACCAAAGGAAGACACAGGAAAAATCCACATACAGCAAAGACAATGGCGGCTTTAACAAGCATTGAGAGGGATTTATAGTCACCTTTAGGCTCTGGAAATTTAAGACTTTAAGGAGCTTGGCTCGTTGGGTTTTCACACCAGAAGACAGCAGGTAAAATACACCCTCCTCCTCCCCCACCCCTTTCTCCCCTCTTCCTCTCTCTATCCCATGGTAACTGGTCTGCTATCAGGTCAGGACGGAGTTGATGTTTCCCCTGCTGCTCTTTCACAGCTGCCTATTACATATTTTTCAATATCATTGTTAATCCTGCTCTTTTTCACTGCATTACTCAGTCCTCTGCAGTCGCTGTGTTTGTGTTGTTGCTGCTGTGTAATGATTCCAAGCATCTGCCTCCTCTGTGTTTGCACCAATCTGAAGCTGGTGTTACTCTCTCCTATGCAGCTCTTCAGGAGGAGAGGATTACCTATTAGTCAAGTGTGTTTTTCTTCTTTTTGAGGTCTAAGCTTAGTTGTTCTTCCCTTTGTCTCCAGTTCCAAATGAGTGTACCTGCAGCAACGGCACAGAAATCAGAAGGCAACAACAGCGACATGCAATCAGCTGCAGTGGCTCCCTCCTTCATTCCCAGCCAGTCGGGGAAGATACCAGGCAGAAAGAGAGGAAGACCCCCACTACGTAATGTTGCTAAGCTGGATTTTCCAAATCGCTACCCAGAATCGCTCCCTCCTCTCAAAGTGCCCAAGAAGAGGGGGAGAAAGCCAGGCTTTAAGGTCAGTCACGATTGGGTGGACGATAGGAGAGATGTGATGTTGGGATGGAGTGTGTTTAAAAATGCATGTGTACACAGAAAGACACAGACACACAGACTCCAGGGCCTGCAGAGTTTGTGGGACCCTAATGGAACAAAGTAAGAGATGGACTGAATAGTCTGGCTTTGTTGTTGTCAAGATGGATTTACAAAACCAGTGATTCAGTCAAAATTGTGACATTCAAATTCAGCTGTCTGCCTCTTTGTCCCTGGGAAAAACTGGTAAACTCAAGCTAAATAACAACAACCGCTACCTGGTGCCAATCCCAAGTTTGGATAAAAGGGGAGTGTTGTTAGATACAACACTAAAGAGGATCTGGAGAATGAGCCAGAATAACTACTGTAGAAGAGGAAAGTCAAAAGTATGTTCTGTCCAAAATAAACACATAAAAGGAATGAAAAACATATTATTTTCTTGCAGCTTAAACCCAGGATGGTGATGACACCACTGGCTATTTCTCCACCGAGCAGCACCCCAGAGCCGGACATGAGCTCCATTCCCCAGGATGCTGCCACCATCCCTCACTCAGCCACACCCCAGGTGCTCACAGGTAGGACACACGCAGCAATGACTACCATGTCTTCACTGTCCAGCCCAAAGTTTGAAAAAAACAAAACAAAAACAAAACATCACACAATAGAGAATGCATTCATTCCTCCATGTTGGTCTGTTTTTCCCCTGTTCTAGTCTGTATCTACATCAACAAACAAGCCAACACGGGCCCTAACCTGGACAGGAAGAAGATCCAGCAGCTCCCAGATCACTTTGGACCCGACAGACCCTCTGTGGTGCTGCAGCAGGCTGTGCAGGGCTGCATTGACAGTGCCTTTCAGCAGAAAACAGTGTTCACCCTCCTGACGCAAGGCTACGGGGGAGAAAAAATATCAGGTGTTGTACAAAGACCCCCCTCAGGTGTTGGTTTCTCTTTATTTAGTAACCTTTGATATTTCTGTTACCTAAAGTGGAACCATAAGCCTAGAAGCAATGGACGTACCAGTCTGGTTGCAAATTGTGGTAGTGCAGTTCTCCTGGTTACGGAATTAACCCTGTGTAAAAAGAGGTCTGTGGGAAAATGATGTTTATTCTCATTGGACTTATAATGTCAGGAGTTAATGGTCTTGATCGCTAGCTTTTTTAGTTGCAACATGATGCCAGATTTTTTTTTAATTTAGTCCATTTAATCAGATATCAAAGAATGATGAGAGGTGCTCTTGTGTTGCAGCTTCCATCGGTCAGTCCATCATCAGCATGAATTACTATTTTACTCTAAATAAAATCTTGAATCACAAAATTGACAGCAGGAACACGTGTCTTATACGTACACTCTTTTGAAAATGTATTATTAATTTTATAAATTAAGCCAGAAGAAACCTCATTTTCCCATGAACTTCTCACCAGAGTTTCCTTTTCTAATATTATTACTGTTGCAGATGTTGAATAAACTAATTTGTCAAAAATGTTATTCCAACTGTGCTGTTGGTTAAGTTATCTCTCTGTCTGGCCTCTTGCAGCCACATTTGATGGGAAGCAGCACCTCCTGAGTCTCCCTGTGGTGAACAGTATTGACTACGTACTTCGCTTTCTGAAGAAACTCTGTCGCAGCTTGCACTGTGAGAACCTCTTCAGCGATCAGCCCATTACCCAGCACAGTGGTGACTCCTACCAGTCAGATGGTGCTTATATTTCTTTAACTCGATGAGAAGCTAAAACGTTAACAAAATTGTCAGGCATGTCTTGACTCTTGGTCTTATTTTCAGCTGAAACTTCGATGGTAGAGGACTACCATGTAGACCAGTCAGAAGGAAAACGCTACTCAGTAGATCTTGGGGATTCCGCTTTCAGCTCTATAAGCTCCGCCTACTCCCCAAAGGCCTCCTACGGGTTCCGCTCCTCACAACAGTTCTCCAGTGGATCTGTCTCCATGAACATGTGCAGACAGTCATCGACCAGCCCAAACACTTTTCCAGACAGCAACAGGACAGGTGAGAACTCACAAAACCAACAGGGAATCCATAAATTATTCCTACAGATACAAAAGTACAGCTCAGGTTTTTGGTTTGGTCATCCAGGAGGTTACACCACAACTCCAGAGTCTCAAGAGTCCAAAGCTCCACCAAACAAAGACCCAACCACCTGGTCTGTTGATGATGTTGTGTGGTTCATCAGAGACGCAGACCCACATGCTCTTGGACCTCACGCCGATGTCTTCAGGAAACACGTAAATTAACCAGACTAAAAATGAAGTAGAATTAATCCTAATATTTCCCCCTAATATGACACAACTTGACTGAATTCCTGTCTTTCTTAGGAAATTGATGGGAACGCTCTTTTACTCCTAAAGAGTGACATGATCATGAAGTACCTCGGGCTGAAGCTGGGACCAGCCCTAAAGCTTTGCTACCACATCGACAAGCTAAAGCAGAACAAGTTCTGAAAACATTTCATGGTGTTTCTCCTTCTTAAAACCAATTCACAAAGTAGGGCCAGAGCTGACACAGCCCTGGTTCTAAGTCCAGCAGGTTTGAGGTGAGTCTCTTTCTTGAAGGTTCCCGAGGTTGATGTCACTTACGGTATTTTATTGTCTCATAAAGGGACTAGCTAATACTTCTTTCAGTACATTTAGGAAAAATATTCCAGTGGATTAAAGTGAAAAAATGTAGTGAGCCACAAAGGGCTCCAACATACGGCTGGTGTTGTTATGAGTTAATAGGGCTAACGTAAAAGAATATATCCTTTCTTCATTTTTACACAATGTCATGGTAATAAGCTACCAAACGATACTATAGAAATTTGTTACTATACAATACAATACAATACAATACTTGGACCTGGAAGAACAATTCTGGTCACTTTTTATGGAAGAATACATGTTACTACCACATATCATATTATCATCTTCAGAACACTATTACCATTATTACTGCCACTCAGTGGAAGTCCAGTCTCGCTCTCAGTTTGTTGCTGCGCAGAAAATGCAGTGCGTTTGTTTTGGCGTGCTCACAGAGGATTGATGCCAACGGTGGAAGCTGCAAAAGTGCAATAAAGCTGAAGTGGGCTGTAGAATTACGTGAACGACTCTGCACTCTGATATTAAAATGGTTCCTGTGTCTTTGAAAAGTTAAACATAGAAATATGAATGTTTTTAATGAAGCTCAATAAAACAGGTGCATGTGTGAGGATGCACCCCACAGAGAGGTGAAGTATCGTCAACTCTCTCGTGAAGTATCCTATAGTCTGGTACTCACATGCGGCCTCATTCCCAATGTATAGTAAATTAGTTTGAGATTTTAACACAGAGGTTCTTAAATGGTGGATCGTGGACCAAAAGTGGGTCACATTTGGTGCAAAGTTGACTTGGGGTTAGGCTAGACAAAACTGAATGGTCCAAAAATTGGACCTTAGGTTAAGTGGAAGTCCTAAGGGTTTTTTTTATTGGACAACCACTGTGGTACAGAAAGCATGTACAGTGTATACTGTACATTCATCACCTGAGCAGAAATGTATATCAGACAACATTTTATATAGACAAGCCTGGTTCATCAGATTTCACTATAGGATCTCACTTACTGGTGTTTAAACATATCTATTACTGCACTGAAATGGTGCATTATACTACAGTGCTTTTAAAAAACATTTTATACTATTATTCCTATATACAAATGTGTCTCCATTTGATTTAACAATTGTTTTCTTCTTATAATTAAAATGAAACCACTTGCTAAATTAAGAGCATTATACACATGATATAATAAGATTTAAGTGAATTCACATACTATCTTCATACAATCCTAACTGAAACATTTGATTATTTTATATGAATTGTAGGGCCCTTTTGGTTTATACAGACATTACACACAAACACTATTGTAAAAACCCCACGGCTAAGTACTGTAAATGGATATACTATAATATTGTTTTTGTATACCACTTTTGGTGTACAGTATGCATCATTTTTAATGGAATAACCTTTGTAAGTGAATGCTGCTGTAAAAATATGACATGTAAGCCATGCCTGGTGAGATCACGCTACAATGGTTTTATTTTGAAAAATCTCTACAAAATAAGAGTTTCAGAGGAGGCCAAGAGGGTCAGATGCTAAGCTGGTGCTAAAATGTTATGTATGTATTAATGTGTTTGCTTTTGTGTCAGTGAGATGTAAAGGAAATCTAATGTGTATACTGTAATGTATGTGACTATTAAATTAATGAAACCAAGTAAGCAGAGACTTGTGTGAGAAAAATTTGTTTTCTTTTTTAAAACTGCTATGATAGAGAACAGTTTCTTCACGGCCTTTGGGGACAAAAACTTAAACAAGCTAAAGAGAAGAAGCTGAGGACTTGACTATGATTTTTTTGTACTCTTTGGACTATTTTCAAACACTCATCCCCCCTCTTACATTCACAGCTCAAAATTGTCAACGGCCTTAAATATTCACCAAACTGTATTTGAAACACTGCAGTTTATACAAGAATACCAGAGATAATTTTCACTGAACTATAAAAATAAAATCACAAATCAGTAAACATTCCTCACCGTGGGACAATTACAAAAAATATTTAAATTGGAATGTATTTTTCTAGCTGCCAAATCCAATCCAATAGCCTTTTGTACCCTAAGGGGTCTCCTCCCTCCCTTTGGGAACCACTGCCTTAAAGTAGATGAACTGAAAGGCCTTAAACATTTTATTTTATATTAAAAAAAACAGTTCATTCTTTTCTGCTAATACAAACAGTCACTGGTTGTTTCTTTGTTGCCTGAATTTATATTAAGGTGGAGTTTTTCTAATATGACCTTTTACAGTAGATGAGAGCCTTCAATGACCTTGGAGGCACATCCAAAAATCACTAAGGGCTTATGGGCAGTGACAGACCCACAGTAGATAATGCTGTGGATTAATTATAAAACAGTCACAGATTAAAAACCCTTGATATACTGAAACATGTATTTAAATGTAAGTGAAATAAATGAATGGAATCTCCTGAGGGGTGTGGCTGAGGTGACTCCTGGCCTGGAGGGACCTCAGTTGGTTTCACTCTATCAGTTTTAACCATTACTTTGCAGTGTGCGTTTAACGACATCACTCTAACGACATTTAACATTAAAGACCTTGAAGCCATGGACGGTCTAAAGTCCAGTTTCACCATCAGATCTAAAGGCATTTTAACGGGACGAGGAAACGACGGCGCGATGCTTCGCTATGATGACATCGCAGACTTTTTTTTTTTATCGCGGTATACGATCAGTGGACAAGATCCAAACGGCAGAGCCATCAGTGAACTTGTGATCACCAGGCTGTGATGCACTTCACTGGTGACGACGCGCTCCTGGCTGTGGTCGACTAACTAGAGACTTGCTGTGGGATCCGCTCCTGCTGCGTCTCATCTGGAATAACGTCGGGAGAATCCAGAAATTTCATTAGTACGCGCACGCGTGCGGCAGTTTGTGTCTCTCTCTCTGTGTGTGTATGTGTGTGTATAAGAGAGAGAGATTTTTTTTCTAAAGGAGGGGAGCAGCAGTGGTGAGAATAATCCCGTTTGGGCAAACGTTTCCCATCGGCAGGGGGGTTTTCTGGACTTTGCAGAAGCCAGAGCAAATTGACTCGGACAGAGAAGCAGCAGAAAGAGACGCTGTTAGAAAATAAAGGTAAGAAGAAGAGTCCCCTGCATGCCTGCAGATGAACATGTCACGCCGTATAGATCTTTACGTTACAGATGCGGCAAATGGAATGGATGGGTGACTAGAAGGACGGATGGCTCACATTCTTTTCCTGTTCGTTATTTTAGATTCTTGTCTTTCGGATAAATATGGGGGTAGAGTGGAGCGGGGGCTGCTGGTACACTGGCACATGCGCATCCTTTAAAACACAACCTCTGCCTTTTGCCTGGAAACAACCAGAAATGGGGGGAAAGGAGCAAAAAATAAAAGGCAGTGTTTGATCGTCCGCGGAGTGAACGACATGCCACAAAGGTTGGCGTAATTGATTTGCTTGAACGGAGGTGTGTTGTGGCACTGTGTTGGCACACACTGTGGCATGTGTGAGCATCCAAAACATATGTCTGTGGATTTTTATTTGTCACGGAAAGAAGCAGGAGACTGTGTTGTGGATATGAAAACACTCTCACTGCGTCGTTTCTATCGGAATGCAGCAATATCACCTCTCTCTCTCTCCCCCTCTCTCTCCCTGGTTAGCCTCAGTAGCATTAACTCAAATTGCCTATAGCATGAAATATAACAGCATCTCCTGCCCCCCTGTTTGGCCAGAGGGAGTCATTGACGCCCGTAAACCTGTGCGTCATGCGGTAGGAAACGTCGCCAAAATACAACACCCGCATTTGCGTCGTTTCCTTCAGCTGCGAAACTATTCTCCAGTTTGAAAAAAAAACCCTGTTCTCAAGGTCATTCATTTCAGCGAAAGGATGTATTTCTAAAATGAACCCTCATATCTATGGCTGCAGTCGCCAGTGATCATCAGAGTGTGTTCTAGGTGATGTTCAGGTCTGTGGTCGTTAAAGGTTCTGGTTTTTACTGAAGCACTACATTTGTACCGTTTGCTGTGGATGGAAGGCCTGAGCCAATGCAGTGCTGTGGTCCAGCATGCTGTCATGCTGCCTCTGGTGTTGCTGCAGAGATTCGGACCATATGTTGGTGGTCCAGTGGTTGAGATGCTCACAACGGCCTTCATGTGCTCAAACGTGCAACATTTTCCCCCTGAATTTAAAACATGCATCAAGAATTGACGTATTCCTGTCAGTTTTACATAATTCCCCCCCTCTGCCACATCTCAGTCAATAATTCATGACTGTGAAGCTCCTGAGAACAGCTTGATGTGGTGTTAGTTTTTTTGTTGTTTTTTTGTGGTCCCAATGAGCATCAGGAATTGAGGAAAATTCAGATTATTACTGCAACGGTCTAAATATTTAGCATTAGGATCCTACAAGAAATAGGAATCTTGGTATTGCTTTACTTTGAAATGACAGCATCACACAATTGCTGCAGTTTTGTCAGCTGCACATTCATGATGCAAATCTCCTGTTTCCCCTCGTCCCAAAGCTTCTCCCTTAGGATGAGATGCTGTGGCTGTGTTTGAGGCATCATCCTGCAGAAAGTAGCCACCAGAAGATGGGTGGTCATATAGGGAGATGGACATGGTCAGCAACAATACTCATAATGCAGGCTGCGGCATTCAAGCAATGCTTGGTTAGTAACAAGGCACTCAAAGTGTGGCCCTTCCCCTCCAATCTCCCACATCAACAGGGTGTTTCCACAAAAAAGAAGCTCCATTCACATTACATTGTCTCTTTTTTTGGACCATTTCTGTAAACATCTGCCAAACCCTCAGCAGGTTTTTAAATACCAGGACCAATGATGCTGATACCTACAACACCATAAAATGCTTAATGTCTCTTAGAATTCCCCTTTACTCCAACTCTGATACTAGCTATAAAATACGACAGAAATGATGAGTTTCTCCACCATACCAACACCCATAAATGCTGATGTTCAAAAGACTGATGTACCCACTATAGAGGCCAGTGAGTGTAAACTGAAAGCTTATACAGCCACAAAGGATACAGATCAAGTGATGTTACTACGATATATAAACGCTGCTGACAGCACTGAAATTTTGTGAAATCCTGAGTGTAGTGTTCCAAAAATGGTGGGGTAGTATTCAAAAAGTGTTATGCTTTGTTATGATACAACGGTTAATAGCATTTTGGTCCAATGCTGCAGCAAGACACTCCCTGCAAAGCCTGAATTCTAATTTGGATTGCATTTTGGCTGTCTCTGCCCCTAAACAGAAACATAGTTTCCCAGACGTTCTGTTGGATTCTACTGGTGGGACAGTTGGACCGTCAGAGAGGTACCAATTAATATTACATTTAGCAAGACTGGGAGACTATAATTTGTATGTTTTGGACCACATTTCCTAACCTTGGAAACGCTGTAGAGATGTCAGTATTAGACAAATGCCTCTGATTATTATTTTTTTGATCAATCTCCAGTTTGTAAGACACACCTCAGGTAACACAAAGGTCCTGACGCTGTGTTTATTTAAGCAATAAATAAAAATGTCCTACTGGACAGGAGCATTTTAAAATTAGAAAAAAATCATCTTAACACCATGACTTCACGTCTGAATGACTAAAGTACTATCTGCGTCACTCTCTGCTCTGTTATACAGTAGGTTACATTTTCACTGATCCAGACTTTAGATGACACTGTGGGTCTGCACGTTCACAGAGCAGTTTGATAGTTACTGCAGCAGCTCATCTTTTATGAGCTCAGGCTTTGTTGACGTTGTCAGGCTACGGGACAGTCATTTCAATGGAAACATGATAGCAGTGATCGAACATTTGATGAACCGGGTCCGCACTGCCTTTGATGATCCAGGTCAGCGCTCCTCTCTGGCCAGAGACTGGCACAAATAGGCTGAAGTGACATAAATAGAACACAAGCACTAGGGAAGTACTACACTTTCCCGCTGATGGCCACTGAAAAACCTCTAACAGCTAAAAAAAAAAAAAATCCCAAAACAACTTTAACTCCCTTTTACTCACTCACACACACGGAGTGAGGATATAAAAGGCTGCCATCTTTGGTTTTGGTTAGGGATTTTCAAACTGTCACCACTCAAGCAGAGATTACAGCATTATTCACATGTTCTCGCACCACAGGAACCATGGGAAAGCAGAACAGCAAGCTGACTCCAGAGGTGATGGAGGATCTGGTGAAGAACACAGAGTTTAATGAACATGAGCTCAAGCAGTGGTACAAAGGCTTCCTCAAAGACTGCCCCAGTGGCAGGCTGAATTTGGACGAGTTTCAGCAGCTTTACGTTAAGGTCTGTGTCAACTCTACACACTGTTCTCCAAACACACGCTTCTGTACATGTCTTAAAGTAGTTTCTACACATTTAATCACAAGAAATGACTCTTTTACTGGTGCAGCCACAGCTTTTGTGAACCCATGATCAATGATTAAAACACTACTTTTACCACATTTGCAGTTCTTCCCGTATGGCGATGCATCAAAATTTGCACAACACGCCTTTAGAACCTTTGACAAAAACGGAGACGGTACCATCGATTTCCGAGAGTTCATCTGCGCGTTGTCTATCACGTCCCGTGGCAGCTTTGAACAGAAGCTCAACTGGGCCTTCAACATGTACGACCTGGACGGTGACGGCAAAATCACCAGAGTGGAGATGCTGGAGATAATCGAGGTAAGGGATTATATCCGGTCATTAATCTGTCACTCATCAGGGGACGGACTGTTTTTTTTTTTTTCATCTTATCGCCTTCCTGCACACCTGCCAACCCGTAACAACTCAACTGCAGTTATATCGAATTACACCTTTCCATTTCTGGAAACACATTAGTATTGTAAACCTGATACGCCCTCAAAGCTATTCATAGTTCTTACAATAAATGTGATGTGTGCTATATGAATTTAAAGCATTTTACCATTTTCATCTACCATGGCCATAGTTTATATAACATCACTCCATAAGTGTGCCGATAACAGTAGCTATGTAGCATTTCAATGTAATGAATAAAGTAGAACCATGGATAAATACTTAAAATTATCATCCACTCCTTTTAAATAGTAACCTATTAATTGAAGCAAACTTAATGCCATAACGATTGGTCAACAGTGTGATTTTGCTGTTGTTTGAACAGATATGCTGTCAAACCATAGACTGAATACAACACACCTACTTTAAGACTATCTTTTGAAACCATCTGCAGTGTTTCAGATGACCAACCAGTGGCTGGATTCAATTGCTTATTCACTTTAGTTATTTGGAGTCAGATCCTGAGACAAACCACTTTTCTAAAGGCTAGGTACAGGTTAGGGCGTTTGTTTTTTGTTTTTTTTGTTTTTTTTACTGACCTTTACCTAAAATTAGCCAATAAAGTAGCCCTTTGCTTTTACTTAGTTTTTACTTGGAAATCAATTAAAGTGGGGTCTTTCTTGTAGGAAAGACAAGAGTTGTACCTATACTAGGAAAAGTACCTGTACCTACGGAACATTAATGAGTTATTCAAGTGCATGGAGCTAAAACTAGAAGTAGGGAAATTATGATAGAGTCCTTCTCATTGGTCAGTGAAATTACCTCTAAATTACCAGGGTCTGTGAATCTAGAAAAAGTATGTAAGTAATTTGATTTTTTTTTTCTTATCCCTTCCACCCCCACTTTAAAAACCACCGATCTAGACCTTACTTTCATGGAACTGGAAATGCTAGTTATCAACAACAACAACAAAAAACCTACTAATTCATACAGTGGTTCCCAAATTTAATGCAGTCACATAATGTTTTAAAAAAAAGTTAAAGTAAAAGTACCTATAAGTGCCCTTTGATGTATGAGCATCCTTGGAGGTAAATCACTGATCCATGTCCTCATGTGCAGTAAACACAGAAATGCTTCAGAAGATGACATAAACTACAATTTGCTGCTAATTTCTCCCTGCTTCTCCCCCATAGGCCATCTACAAAATGGTGGGTACTGTGATCATGATGAAGATGAACGAAGACGGTTTGACACCAGAGCAGAGGGTGGACAAGATCTTCAGCAAAATGGATAAGAACAACGACGACCAGATCTCGTTGGAGGAATTCAAAGAAGCCGCCAAGAGCGACCCGTCCATCGTGCTCCTGTTGCAGTGCGACATGCAGAAGTGAGGCTGTCCTCCCCCATCTCCTACTCCACCTCCCTGCTGACCGCTCCTCTCCCTCTCTATAATCCACACACTGGACAGCAGCACATGTTACAACGTCTCATTAGGTTCTCTGCCATTTCCACAGGAAAAAACATAAACACACACAATGCTTGGACTATTTTTCAATGGACTCGCTTCTTGTGGTTGTATGCATGAGAATGTCAAATGCTGAATAATTTTGAATATAGCTCTAAGATATCACACATTTCTATTTGAAAAGATGCCAATGTGATTTGTGCACAGTATAACCCTATCCATTCTTATTCATCCCTAGCTTGTATATCAGTGGAGCACTGCGTTGAATTATGTTCCTGCAGTATTTAGGATCCCCAGTGTTCACTGCTGCAACTACTGTACGCTTTACATAATAGTAACAAACAATAATTCCTATTATAATTGTTACTGTCTCTGCTACTCAGACTCGTTGAGTTCTTGGAGAATAGAAAGGCTCTTGTCTGTAACAGATGTTCTCACACGGTGGAACCAAGAAGCGTAGGTTCTTTGCATGCATATACTATGTGTCAAAAATATAATCTCTTACCTTTTGCATCTTTAGGTGGTTATAAAAGAGAAAACCCTCCTAAATTCATTTAGTATTGTTGCATGGGATGTACAGTATGTGACTCATCAGACCATTAGTTTGCCTCCAATAATGTGGGATTATGCTTTCCTCCATTTGATCCATCTGTATGTGTGACACTTCTTTTTTTTAGGTTTACAAATGTGGCCCAATTGCCTAGACACTGCTTTCATGTAAACATTTCTTAAGTTATTTTTGCTTCATAGACTTCTGGGATAAGCAGAAATGTATTCATGGAGAATCACTCCCTTATGATTTTACTGTACTGCTGCCAGTTAATCTGGAGAACAGGCCAAATTAATGCCATCATTAGGCACAGTACTCATGCATTATTCATAAAGACCCACACTTGACTCTCCTTTTTTTTTTCAGACTGCGTATTTTTAGCATTATAATAATAAGTAATAATTAAGTAAGTAATAATTTCACTGGGTACATATCAACATGTTTACAGAAATGATGAGCACTGGGCTTTTGACCTTGATGCTGGGAGCTCATTCTCTGGGCCAGGGAAGAAAGAAGTGCTCCACTTCCAATGCAGCAAAAAGGGAAGAAAAAGCCTCACATATGTTTACTGGACGTACTGCATTCCTAAAACTTGTTTTGTAAAGAAAAACTTTTTATCAAAAAAAACAAAAAATCTGATTTACTTCTGTTTCCAGCAATCATGTATAACAAGAGCTGTTGAAGGAGCATTAAGTGAAAGGTTGACGATGCAGGTCTATGTATTCTGTAAAGATGCTCTTTCAAGAGCTCAGTTTCCCCTGTTCCTTTTCTAGGCTATGCAAGCATGGACTAATTGTCAGCTTGTAGTCCACTTCACACATGTGGAGGTTGCAGAAGCTTCTCATTGTTCTGTCTTCAATGTATCAGAACCCAACCATTATTAGTGTCTTTTTAATTTTACACATTCCAGCCACATCACCACGTCAAATTCTTTGTCTAGTCAATGTTTATATCCAATAAGAAAAACCATCATTCAAGTGACTGTACACTTTTTTTTCTACATGTGGCATGTGTTGCACCTGAATCTGACTCTGTAGTGATTAAAACAAATAAACCACCAACAGGCTTTTCCAAAAGACAAGGTCTGACCGGTGCTTTTAATGGAACCAGAAATGAAGACCCTCTGGTCTTGTGACTTTAAAGCTGTGATGAACATGTGTTGCTGTGTATGAGTGAATTAATGAAATGCGTGACTGGTGCTTTTGACATCAAATGTACGGATAATGATAGGCCACGTTTTTCACACACAAGAACAGCACCTGGATGGGAAATGGCTCTATTGATTATGATTCATTACCTAAATTAAATAAAGTAAGTAGTATTGACAGGTCGAGGCTTGGAAGAGAAATTCACAGTGTGAGTTTTTGCAACCCACACAGGCTACCACGGGAGCCAGTTTTACATGACATGGTTCTTCTGGGCATCTTCCCAGGATGTTCTGCATGCAAGGCAGATGTGTAAGGCAGATGTGATAACCCCTGGTATATGGAACCCCTATACCACTATACAACACACAATAAAATAGCACCTAATAAGGATAAAGTTTTCTCCATCAATTCAGTAGTTTAGCAAAGATTTGTGCCAAAAGACAGTAAAAGTATTATAATGTAAACGTACAGGGAACTGCTAAAGTTGGCAATAAATGGTAGGCATTTATAAAAGTTGCCCAAAAGTAGTTAAAACTAGCCAAAGATTCAAAGAAGAAAACCGAGTGGTAGTGCAGAAATGACTACAGCACAAAGAAAGTTAATATAATGTATACAATGTAATATTCACATGGACAGGGTTGAAAATAATAAAATTGGATTTTTGAGAGAGAGGAAGGGAGAGAGGATGACCTTCTCTTGACCTTTCCACTTGAGTCTATCCTCTAACAGAATCTGTAGCTTTGCTGTCAGTCTATAAATACTGCTTTTGATGTACCCAGCATGCTTTTATTTGATTTGGATTTATTTGAGTACTAGTGAAATATGAGGCATTATAACCAACTCTACTACGATAACTCCTGGTTCGTTTCAGTGGAATGCGTAAAAATCAAAAGAACTATTCTGGGCCATGCTCAGAATTAAATAAATGACAAAGTGTCTCTTGAACAAAGGAATCAAGGTAGTTACAGCAGTGACAACAGTGTGCACAGTAGATCGTAAGCCTCAGATGGTACAAAACAGAGAGACAGTGACACATGTATAAAATGCATGCCTGTTGGTTTATAGTGGAAAATTCCTGACCAAAACTAAAGAATGTACGCAGCGTCAGGAGATGAGGGCATAACACAAGCATGTCTTCTTAAATACTGAGCAATATTTAAGACAGAATTACTCGGATATAAAGAAAAACTGGACAGTAAATGAAGAAAACTCACCTGCTGGGTTCTTTAGATAGCACATCAGACTTTTATCACATCAGAGTACCACAGAGATTTTATCCTGTCACTTTTATAAGCATATGGTTAACTGTTTCTGGATAGTTACTAAATAGCTGCGGTGCTATGGGAGCAGAAGAAACACAAAAAGGTTTCTGGTAAACAGGTTGATTACCTTAAAAGAATAACATGACATTAGTATATATAATGGTTTTTAATCGGACTTACTCTGTACTAGCTGTTTACAAAATTTTATAGGGACAACCCTCTTCTGATCCAATGGCCTTTCCATTTAAGGCTATCAAAGCAGCCTCATATATTTGGGTTTGGCTACTGTGGCAAACCAGATGTCTTGCCCAAGGACACACTTCATTTCCTAAATCATTCATACAGAAGACAGTCTCTTATTTGTGCCATATATAGTGGTGCCTACGTGAAAAAACGTAGAGTTACAAATGTCTTCATGGCTACTTTTGCTCAAACTCGACAGGAAAATACAAATGTCCTATAAACTACAATTTTCTATAAATAAAAGCCCCCATTAAACTAATCATTTCCACCTCCAATGTCCCGCACTACTATAGAGTAAACTCCGGAAACAACCAGGATTAGAGCCACTGCATATACCACCTAGCATCACTTCCTGTTTGAGCAGGTGAACTTCGCCGTCACTTGTGACGTCAGTTCAGGGGGATAACGCTATGATTAGCTCACTTCCACAACCATCTACATTTCTCAAAGTATTAATCGAAACACGTTAAACGGCGTTAAATTCATGTTGGACTCAGTGGGTGAAACTTTCTAAACTTAATATGTAACTGTGTATTTTGGTGTATTTTATCGGTGTTGTGATAACTGCTGCTAACCACAGGCTTTAAATTCCTGTATCAGTCCGCCCTTTTACCTCCAACAAAGGAAATCCAACGTGGGATGTACCTGCTGCTCCAGAGGAGGTAAGGAAACGCCAAATAATTAAACATACACATTTAATTTCACACTTCTTTAAGTTGCTTTTGTCTTTGTCACACACAGAAGGATAAATAAGTGTGCGTAATGAGTGGAGAAGGAAGCGCTAACAGACAATATTGGTACTTTATTTTAAGCAAAATACATATTTTTTCATATTCACTAACCGCCTAGTTTTATTATTTGTATTTATAACTTAAGTCATAATATGCATGTTTATGCACTTTATATGGAAGAAATTCCTTAATAATAGGCTAGGCTTTGGACATCTAGCAATGACAAGAACCATTTAAAATGCTTTCTTTTCATTTTTTAAGAAAGATGTTTTCTTCAAAAAGTGAATGTAAGTAAACTGCTTTTTCGTGTAGCCTTGTGCTTAAGCAAAACAATGAGTCTTGAATTGTCTTGAAGATACATTTATGAAAAATGTATAAACATGTAGATCTTTAGCGCAATGAAGGGAATGACAAAGACACATTTATCGTTAGAATAGGCAACCTTAATAAAGATTTTGTATATATGAAAATGTACAAAAAGACAAAACAGGTACACACAAAAAAAACCAAACAAAAACAACACAATTTACGTTTGGAAAAATTGCCATGTTCCACATGCAGGCAGTAGGTGGCGATAAGTCACCGGACTAAATCTGATTTAGTCAGAATTACTTTATTGATTCCCTGAGGGAAATTGTTGAGTCTTTCAGTTTCATAAGCAAATAGTGATTATGTTTCATTTTTACATGAGGTGCATTTATATACTTTATTATATGTTCGAATTATCTTTCACATCTTAATGAGTAAATAAACAAAATGTCAATGGAAAAATACCAAGGTTGGCAGGTGCTTCAGACCTTAAAGTGACCAAAGCTGAATAAGATTTTATGTTAAATTTTTAGATAAAACATTAGAACAACTATTCACACATTTTTATTTAGATGTTGACTTTTAGATGTTGTATTTAGAGGATATTTTTCTTGAGTTTAATACCCTCTAAGCGTATTTTATTTGAGCAACATTTATTGCTGCAGTGTGCCAACTATAGAAAAGCAAAACCAGTAATATGAACAACTAACACATTTTTTGTCAAAGACAAGAGAATGAAATATTCGCCCTTTAACTATAATCCTATGCAAATATTTTGCTTTGATTGTCATGCTGTACAGAAAATTGTCAGGACATTTTTATTAGTTCTGAGTAATACTTCATCCTTGTCTTATTTCCAAGGTTTAGTTGAGCTCTGACACTCATAATGTGTTCAATCCCGGGGCTTCCAGTACCAGGATCAGAAGTGCATGTTCTCATAACAAGGATAAACCTGAACAAGACTTTTGGTCTTGTTGAACTATGGATTAACCTGGATGATGAAAAGAAGCACATATATGATCAGATGAAAGAAGACATTCAGATTCCCAAGAGAAAGTTTAATGGATCTGAAGGACAACCAGGAGACCTTTGTCTGGTTCTTTTCAGAGACACCTGGAACAGAGCTCGGATTGTATCAATTCAAGGTGACACTTTTAATGTTTTTCTCATTGACCACGGACAGCCACATTTCGCCACTTGTGAAGATTTAGCATGGGCTCATAATGACAGTGTTCTTATTCCTCCTGAAATTGAATTTTGTGTACTTGCAAATATTGTATGCCCTGACAACAACTGGCCAGAAGGAGCTGCAAAGTTTTTGAAGTCTCTGTCTGGCAAGAAGGTTCAAGGAGTGGTTCAACATGTGCTGGCAGACAGGAAAATTCTGCTCGATGTACCATTTGTTTCCAAGTTTATATGTCAATTAGGCATTCCACAGAACATTACAGGGGATGACTTCAAATGCCTTGTGTTGAAATGTCTAAATCTACCCATAGAAGAAGCTTCTGAAATATACCATAGTACACAGAAAGAGAATGGCGATGATAATCAAAGCATGGAAAAGCATGACAATTACTTCTACCCAGCGTTGCTAACAGGTGTGTCGGAAAACATTACTGTGACAGAGGTAACTGGTCCACAGAACATTTTTTGCCAACTATTAATTTTCACCAAAGAAGTGAAAATGTTATCAGAACAGATCCACCAATACTATGAGGATCCCTCTAATATTAGTGAGGTCCAACAAAAGACTGTTGGATATCCATGTGCTGCGAGGGACAAAAACGGCAGATGGCATCGTTCCTTACTCAAGCGGAAAATTGAGGCCAGTGATACTGCCTTCGAAGTCTTGCATGTGGATGAAGGAAGAACAGAAGAAGTTGGAGTTGGAAGGATCAGAGCTCTCCATAGAAATTTTCTAAGATTACCAGTTTTTACATATCAATGTTCTCTTGTTGGACTAATGGATAATGACACTGGTTGGACCACAGATCACACCAATCATTTAAAGTCACTGCTTATGAATAAAACATTGGTGGCCAAGTTTGACCGTCATTACACACCTCAAAATGTATATGATGTCAAACTTTATGCAGAAAATAGCCCTTGCATTTTAGAAAAAGACATTATTAATACATTAATACATTCCCTTCCCACGTCCCCTAAAGATGATCAATGCATTCATATAAATGGAAAAGATTCACACGATAAAGTGTTACTTGGATACAAGAAAGTAGATGTTAGCAGGGAGGCTAATGTTTCTGTTGGGGACTGCTTGAAACAGCAGGAAAAACTGTTGCCTAACAGCTTTCAGGATGGCTGTGACAGTGAGTCATTCACTATAGGAGCCAGCGTCAATGTTAAGGTGTCCTGCATTGAAACTCCAAAAATGTTCTGGTGTCAATCCGTGGACAAAATGGACTCCCTTAGATGTCTAATGCAAGACCTGCAAAGCCACTATGCATCTGTCCACCCTGGACCCTTGCAGGGATACATTTGCATTGCCCGTAGTCCAGACAATGGCATGTGGTACAGAGCAAGGATTATCAAAAATCACCATTCTCCTCTAGTAGCTGTTAGATTCATAGATTACGGCCATACTCAAATGGTCCCACTGCAGGACGTACGACCAATTGATCCATATTTCTTACAGCTGAATGCACAGGCTTTTCAGTGCTGCTTATCCAGTGTGGAGAGTTTCTCTAATCTCGACGGCGTTGCATGGTCCGAAGAGGCATTCACAGAATTTAAAAGATTTGTGGATTCAAATGTCAGCTCAAACACTGCGATAAAATGCATCATAAAAGATGTGACACTGGACAGTGAAGGTCTGCAGCTTAATGTGGTGGATATTGAAAGTTTACCCAAAGGTGCCTACAAGATACTGGTTCAGGAATGTGCTCAGAGTGAAACACTGTTACAACATACTCTGGAGCTCAAACTAGATGCATACAATTACTCCAGTCATAATTTAGAGGTAGGTGCAATAGAAAAGATATTCATAACCTCCTCACAGAGTGTTCACAACTTTTACTGCCAGCTGGATAGAAACTTGCATTTGTTAGAAACTGTGACTGAAAACATTAAACAGCTAATTTCACAGGGACAGTACACTAATCTCCCACTTGGGCCCAATAGCCTCTGCTTTGCAAAATACCCTGATAACCAGTGGTACAGAGGTAAAATAGCAGCAATGTTGCCAAAACCCAAAGTACATTTTGTTGACTATGGTGAGACACTTGAAGTGACAAAATCAAATATTTTGCCTTTTCCCTCTGAAGAATGTTTGGCCAGGTCCATTGCTGTTCAAGCTATTCCACTTGGTCTGTTTGACATCCCAGATGTTGTACCAAAGGAAGTTGACCAATGGTTTTCAGACTGTGCCAATAACAGCAGTTTAACCATTTCCGTTGTGTCGAAAGGGCCTCAAGGAAAGCTACTTGTTGACTTGTTTGACAGATCCTTAAATGTTAATGAGGAGGTTAGAAAGAAGATATCAAAAATGACCCAACAAAAAATGATTGGTTTAGCTCAGTCAAATGAGAAGTTGTTCCTTAACAGCAACGAGCGGAATAGTGTGCAAAGTGAAGAATGTGAAAAACATCAACATCTGAATGTGTCAAGGACAGTTGAGACAAATGACCTGACACAGGAAGCTGAATATGAAGAGACAGTCAAGGGAAGCCAATCAACTTTGGATGTCAGTATTAAGGACACGGAAAATGGGAATTTGATGGAGGATAGTCAGAGTGACTTACAAATAACACACCATTTTCTTCTTCCATGTCCTGAGAAAAATGCTACAAACTGCACATACAAGTGGCCAACAATTTCTCAACTAAAGACAGAGGAGGTGTTTGCCTCCTGCATTGTTGAACCTCAGCACTTTTGGTGCCAGTATAACGACACTGAAGATCTGAAGTTGTTGTCAAAGTTAGCTCAAGAGGCAGGACAGGTACAACAAGATGTGACGGTCCCTGAGACTCTTGGTCCTGGAAGTCCATGTCTTGCTCTTTTTCCAAGTGATGCTCAATGGTATCGGGCTATGATAATGGAAAGAAGTGACAACACTCTTCATGTTGTGTTTGTCGACTATGGGAATGAGTCTGATGTTAGCATCAGTGATGTGAGACCCTTGCCTCAAGGGCTACTTGAAATTGTTCCCCAAGCCTTTCTGTGCTCTCTGACAGGATTTGACAAGTCAAAGGGCACTTGGGATGACCAAGTTTATGATGAGTTTTACAATCTCTTAGTTGACAAGTCTCTGTGCCTGACAGCGTTTAGCATGGAAGATGATTCGAAGCTTGGCATTCCTCGGTATATAGTACAATGCGAATGTGAAAATATGAATGTAAATTGTGAAATGCAGAAACATTGGAGATCAGTTTCCAAAGAACAAGTTATGGAAAAAAGCTCTGAAGCAGAAAACTCTCCTGATGAAAGACAAGTGGATGCCAACAGGATGTATGATGTTCTTCCTGTGAAAGCTAATGGTTTTGCATACAAGAAACCTGAAGTGGCCATAAACCAGACAGAAAATGTCTATGCCTCTTGCATTGCGGAACCCAATTTCTTTTGGTGTCAGTATGCCAACACTGAAGACCTCAAGAGATTGTCAAAACTCACCCAAAAAGCAGGTCAGACTCAGCAAGTTCCCATGTTTCCAAAGACTCTTGTTCCTGGAAGTGTATGTGTAGCGCTTTACTTTGTTGACAATCTGTGGTATAGAGCTCAGGTAATGGATAGAAATGATAACAGTCTTCATGTTGTATTTGTTGACTATGGAAATGAGTCTGACGTTAACATCGATGATGTGAGACCCCTACCTCAGAATCTGTTAGATTTGGCACCTCAGGCTTTTCTGTGCTCTTTGAATGGTTTTGATGAGTCTAAAGGATCCTGGGATGAACAAGTATATGGCGACTTCTACAATCTCCTGGTAGAAAAGCTCTTGAAGGTGACGGTGTTGGAAGTTCAGGATCACCTTGCTCTGCAAGTTCCTCAGTATGTAGTGGAAGTAAAGTTTGAAAATGTGGTTGTAACTAAAGCAATGCGAAAATATTGGAAACCTGTTGCCAAAAGACATGTAACGTTGCAGATCCCTGAAAGAGAAAATTCACCTCAGGATGAGCAAATAGACTTGTGTGTTTCCAAAGGAAATACTAATGTTATCATGTACAAGAAACCAAATATTTGCAAAAAACAAAGAGTTGATGCAGTCTACGCCTCATGTATTGTGGGACCCAAATTCTTCTGGTGTCAGTGTGTCCAGGAGCTGGACATGTTGTCAATAGTGGTTCAAGAAGCTGGACAGACACATCAGGAAGCTGTATTCACTGAGGCTTTACCCCCTAGTAGTCCCTGTCTGGCTCTGTTTTCCAGTGACCAACGGTGGTATAGGGCTCTGGGTCTTCAGAGAACTGAAAACGTACTCCATGTCGTGTTTATCGACTATGGTAATGAGTCTGACGTTGATATTGAAAATGTGAGATTGCTGCCTTCAGGTCTACTGGATGTGGCTCCTCAGGCATTTCTGTGCTCTTTAGCTGGATTTGATGAATCAAAGGGTTCCTGGGATGAAGAAGCATATGAAGACTTCTACAATCTACTGGTGGACAAACCACTAAAGGTGACTGTCATTGATGTGGAGGACCATTCAGAACTTGGTGTTCCTCAGTATGCAGTACAAGTGGAATGTGAAGGAGTCATCATAAATTCATTGATGAGAAAATATTGGAAAGAATCGAGTGAGGTTCCTTTGAAAGAGGTTAGGAGACATGAAAATTAAACAGATTAATTAGAACTCTAAACAAAAGTCAAACTATCTTTGCTTTTGTCTTCAGTGCACACGTTTGGAAAAAGACCAGAGACAAGATCAATCCAAGCAAATGAATGGTAGGCCATTCATTTGTGAAAAATCATGTGATTTTTAACACATGCTATAATTACGAACGAATACTATTTTAAGTAAAACATGCACTATAAATAAAAATCACAGAAATTGTCTGCATAAACGCACTTTCAATGGCTACTGATTGAAATGTTATTCTCTTTCAGCTCTGCATTAGATGAACCCCAACCGCAGGAAGTGAAGTTTTAACCTGTAACATGCATTTGAACTACGCCCTTGGGACACTTATTGCATGAAATGAATCAGTACATGTATTAAATTTGTCTTATCTGTGTCAATAAAAGTTATATATATTCATTTAAACACACCTTGAATGTTGTTTGTGTTAAAAAAAATCTGCAAGCTTTACTTGCTGTGTGTTTTCAGAAGATTTGACCTTTTACTACTCGGTGTCATCAAACTGGTTCTGCATGGTTGGCTTTGTATTCATTGTTTCATAATTCTGATCATCAACAAGGCATAATGCAGATAGAAACCAGATAAACATACTTTTCCCAATGGTTGGTTTCCATCTGGTCTGTTAAAACAATTTCTGACAAGACCTTATTTAAGACTTCATCGATGAACTCTATGCTTCATTGGTAAAATACAAATGTACCAGGCTGTCTAGGGGAAATTGAAGACGGGATTTTCTATAGACTCAGAAACGAATCTAGTGAGTCTACAGAAGGGGGCAGCAAACCCTTCCACACGATCAGGTTGGGACTTAACACTATGTTTTGTTCAGCCGTTGCCAGGCAACCCTTGCAACAAAATGACGGAGTTGCACCAAGCCGCCGCAGCAGGGGATTTTGACAAAGTTGAAGAGATTCTGAAGAACAAGAAATGCAGCCCCAACGAGAGGGACGTGGACTGGAGCAACAAGACTCCTCTTCACTGGGCTGCAGCTCGAGGTAGTGGATGGATATTTATGGTGCATTTTGGCTACATATCATTAGTCTCAAGTTACATTTGTTGCCATTTCATGCAGTATTGATTTGTGTTGTTGACCAAAATTTTAAAGACTTCAAAGTAATTTAAGTTTTAGTTATAGTGCACTAAAGACCACAGTCTCAGAATTCATTTATAATTTTAACTGACAACAATTCGGAGACTTCTATAGATATTAAAATGCTATATTTTAAAGAGAAACCTTGTGCATACACCGTTATAAATATATAGAAATGACATATACAAGTCCACACATTTTTTCCCTAGTCCCAAATTCCTCATTTTAATAATTATTTAATTTTGAATTTTTTAATGTGAAAAATTATTTTGGTCGTAAATGGTCCTAAATTAAACTGTATGTTTAACGAACAGGACACACAGAAACAGTCCGGGTTCTCATTGAGCATGGAGCAAGGCCCAGTCTAAGGACAGAGTTTGGGTGGACCCCAGCCCATTTTGCTGCAGAGTATGGCCACGTGGCTGTGCTGCGCCTGCTTCACGCTGTCCATGCTCCCATAGACAAGGAGGACAGCTGTGGAGACAAACCAGTGCGGATTGCAGAAATATATGGACACCAAGACTGTGTTCAATTCC